CTTTACTAGAATGGTAGACTAGTAAGACAGCAGAAGTCTTATCAGAGTGAACCTGAGCACATGAACTTGTGGGTAGTCGGGCATGGATGCTTACTGTTGTGATATATGAAGTTTTGCATTCCTGCAAGTTCCGTTTCTCAGTAAGCATCCATGCCCGAGTGCTGATGCCAGCAAAGCATCGCGGGTCTCGGGGATGATGTCAGCATACCGCTTCAGTTACGCGGATAGGCGTAACGAGTCGTTTCAGTCACGCGAACAGTCCAGGGTCTCAGACATCGGACGAAATCCGTCTGATGGTCTGAAAATCAGACCTGTTTTTTTGCTTTCATCTGATTTTTTGACTGGGTGAATTATTTCATCTGATTGTCCATCTCAGTCATAAGATTTCGTCTGAAAGTTCAGACTTGGCATACTTTTTCGTCTGAAATGTCAGATAGCGCGTATAATTTTGTCTGACAGCAATCACCCCTTATCCCACTGTGCCAATGGGTCACCTGCCCAGTGGCCCACACTGTGCCATCTTGGTCCTGGTCGGTGGGCAGGTGCATTCATTTCCACGCGCACCGCAACGGCCAGCGCATAGTCACGAAATGAAATCGGCAGCAACCTGACTCAGGTTGCTGCCAATCGCTCGTCCGATAGTGCGTCACTTGCACGGCTGCCAGCTTCCTTGCATCTTGAAGCTGGCAGCAATGTGCCAGCGCACAGTGGTGCGGCCAGGAAAGCCACCCACCGCGAGCCAGCAATGCAGAGCTGTTTCGTAGCCATGCAGCAACCTCGCTCGCCATGCTGCAGCTCAGCGAGGCGCCTGGTCGTAAAGGCACCAAGGGAAAAGCCTCGTAGCCACTTGTCCTGCTCCACCTCGTTCTTCCAGCCCCCTCAGCATGGCTCCAATCTTGCTCGGCGCACACCCTGCCTAGACGCCCTCTAGCTCTGTGGCTAGACAGCGATGGCGTCAGAGAGAGCGCAGTCGATCCCCTCCCCAGTTAGGCAGTCAATAGTAGGCTTGGAGCCCCCTGGCTCAACCCCTCCGCTTGTTAGTGGTCTAGATCTCCTCACTGGCGTGCTGAACCGAGCCGTCAGCGGCGATGCTCCGGTTGCAGCCGTGGGTGAAGCACCTCCGTCGCCTCTCCCACCCTTAGACGACGAGCCGTGGGTTTTCTTTGACAAAGAAAACTCTACGTGTGATGCTCCAACGTCGCCTAACCCGTCGTCAACACCTGGCTGCTCAACCGTGCGAGCCGTCTCCCCTTCACGCGTGACGCGCGGTCCTGTCCTACCAGTTCGCGCTCCTGGCAAGAAGTATCGACAGCGCAAGCTTACGTTTGGCCGACCAGCGGTGGCTCAGTCTACACCCTCTGTCCAAGTGCAATCCCGGTCTTCCGAAGCATCTCCTGCCGACTCCGACGACGACGATGGTCCCTTTCCCCTCACAGTCGCCGAGCTCCAGTTGAAAGCCAAGGAGCAGTGGCAGCGGTATTTCCCATGGCTGCTGATTTCCGAGACCTCTGAGGGGCGTCCATGCATGAAGTGTAGCATCTGTATGGGGTACAACAACGACCCAACTACCAGTATGGGCGCAACGGCGAGGGCGGCATCGACATACAGAAGCAGACGATGCGCAAGCACCACCACAGTCAAAAGCACGAGGTGGCGATGGCACGGAAGGAGCAGAAGGATGGCAAGAATGCGAAACAGAAGTCCATCGTCGACTTCGAGAACGGGAACGATGTGGCAAAGCGACTGAAGCGACTCATGGCGATTGTGATGTTCCTCTGCAAATCTGACGCCCCCGTTGTGTTGTTTGTGTCACTTGTCCAGTTCATGGCAGAGCAGGGAACACCAGACCTACCCGTGAAGGACAACGGTACCTACCAGAGCGAGTAAGAGTTATACGTGATACCAACCCGATATACTGTTGATTTGTTACGTGCTTTCTAGAAGGCTGACACTGTACTATTATGCATGCGCAGGTACGGTTTCAATCAGGTGGTCGACAACATCGTCACTTACCTGCGAGCCAAGCAAATGACCCACATCAGGGCTTCACCATTCTTGGGCATCCAACTCGATGAGTCAACCGACCGCCGGCGGGGTAAACATATGATTGTTTACCTTACCTTCCTCCGCGACACGACGGTGGTGACGGAGTTCTTCGGGCATCTCACCCTCGAGAAGTGTGACGCCGCATCTCTGCAGGCCGTTCTACTCACCCACCTCGAGTCTCAGGGCGTCGAGCTCAACAAGATTTGCGGCATCAGCACCGATGGAGCCAGTGTGATGACGGGTGCGCAAGCAGGCCTCGTGGCTAGGCTACGCACCCGTATTCCACACCTGGTTTCCTGCCACTGCATCGCGCATAGGTGATTCTAACATTCTATAACAATGCATATTTTAAAATATTATTTCGAAACGAATAAAGTGTTTTTGTTAATCTGCAGGGACGCTCTTGCTGCCAAGGACATTGCAGATGATTTCCCGGACTTAGGCATCGTCGACAAGGTCGTGCGGTCACTGGCCGAGGTGCTCGGCCGGTCCATCGTCGTACACAACCGTTTCAAGGAGCTGCAGGAAGTCGTCACTGAAACTAACCTCGAAATGCAAGGCATTCACCAGATACGTTGGCTTAGTCGCGGTGAGGCTATCCAACGGCTTGTTGATGTGTTTCCCGCGGCCATCCTCCTGCTGTACGAGTATGATAGGAAGATGTATCACGTAGTTGTCTCGTTGAAATTTCATTTCTTGCTGTACTTTCTGGCGGATGTGCTGCGGGAGCTGAACACGCTCAACCTCAAGTTCCAGCGTCGCCAAGTAAGCCACATGGTGTCATGTCGTCGGTTTCAGGAGAGTGATTATTAACGAGCAAAACCATCTCCCCTTTCTGTCTTTGTATGGCAGGTCGACGTCACCCAGGTTCTTCGGATGGTCGACAACACTGTCGTTACACTACGCGCACGCTACGTAAATTACAACACACAGTTCGGCCCACCTGACGGGGACTTCGCCGACTTTCTGCATCTGTACGCGGGGGGCGAGGACGTGACAATCGAGGGGATTGACGCACACGGGGCGCCGACTGTGCACATGTACACTCTACACACAAAGCCGCTGGATGGGCAGCGGAGCAACGGGGATCTGAAGTCGCTACAGCAGCTCGCCACGGACGTCGTCAACGGTGTCATCAACCACCTGCAGGGACGCCTCAAGGATCTATCGAAGCTCAACGGCACAAGACTTTTCAAGCAGACGATGTACCCGAAGTCCACTGCGAGGCGCCAGCGAAAGTTTCTCGAATGGCTCCAGTCTCTGCGCGGCCTCTACAAGCGTGATGCGTCAGCGCCCGACACTCTGCCGGGTGAGTTCCAAGGGGTTGTAAGTGTCTCCATGGCTCGGGTGTTTTATGGTTGAGATATTTAACGAAGGCTTCTGTGCCTCTATTTCACCCCCCCTTTAGGTGTCCACTGGGGCAAGGCGAAGGCCGAGCTCGTCAGTTTCACCACCATTATGTCGACACACAACGACGAGCTGGGCTTCCACGATGCGCTGAAGAACGTGCTCTCCACGCCGGACTGGATGACAGCCTACCCCAATTTGGTTCTCATCTGGATTGCCTGTGCCGTGCTGCCGCTCAGCACAGTGGATTGTGAGCGCGGGTTCAGCCGCCAGAACGTTATCAAAAGCTGGCAGCGCGGCAATCTCGGTGATGCGAAGCTAGGCCACTTGATGACGGTGTCGCTGCTCGACTACCCGATGGACTGGGGGAGTATGGTGGCTAGCTGGCGTGGAACGAAGAAGCGGCGACCTGCCAAGGAAGTTGTCATGGATCAGACCGCACGGCAGGTGAAGCGGCCCAAGACGTCGGCGGCATTGAAGGCGGCAATGGCAGCAGCAAAGGCAGCAGCAGAAGCAGCCAGGCAGGCAGAAGCGCTAGCAGCAGCAGAAGCAGCCAGAGTGTTTGAAGAGGATGGTGCGGCTGGCCCAATCTGGAGGAGGAAAAGCAAGGGCAAGAAGGTGCAAGTCTCAGAGAGCGACAGTGATGATGATGATATCGAGGAGGTCGGAAGTGATAGTTCAGACTCCGAGTAGGCAGATGATGGTATGGCACAGCATGGTTTAGTATAAGGCTAATTCCTAATGTAGGTTGTGGTAGTGGAGCATCAGTAGCACTAGAGTTTTTTCCAGCTATTCTTAGCATATACGGTAGATGCAATTTCAATGGATGCTAACGACGTGTAACAGTTGTTTGTGTAGCACTATAATGTAGCACATTCGGCATTGTTATATACTGAAACTCCCGCAACGTTTCGTCTGAATTGTCGGATCGTGCCAAATGTTTCGTCTGAAATGCCAGACCGGCAAAAAAAAATCGTATGATGGTCAGACGAAAGTTTGAAACCCCGTCTGAACGTCAGACGGCCTAAAATCCTAGCTGAAACCCTGGAACAGTCGCGACCCTATAGAATAACGAATAGGTCGCATAGCGCGCAACTAGCCGAACAGGTACTTTCCTAGAGCTATAAATCCTTGTAATGCCTTTCTATTATCAACCTTGACTTTCCACAGAACAAGTAGCATTGGCAGCCCTGCATCGTAACATGGTAATTGCAAGTAAATGTTGCTTGCATGCTGTATTCCACTTGTGCATACTGTGGCATAAGTTACCATAATGATGAGCCAATCCTTGTGATAATGCCTCATGGCGATGAATAGGAATGGTGATTATTGCCTGTTTGCAACTGATCGTGCAATGTCTTGCAATACTGCAACTTCTTGGATAAATTAGTGAGGAGCTTCAATAAATCATATGTTATCATTGAGTGTTCTTATGCAGTTTTCACGACGTTCCGCACACTTTCACACGTCAGCAGACTCCAGTCGCCGTGACTATGACGGGGTTCTTCTTTTCCCGCCAATCTGACAAATATCGGGAAGGTGTCTGTTTGAGTATGGGAAGCCTGGCTGATTCGGTGACCTCCTGAATCCTGATTCCTGCAACTTATCATGACTCATGAGGTATAGGTGCTAGAGAGACTTTCTCCCTTAGTTTTTTTCTGCAACTGCTGTTAGGGACCATGGAGCTAGGTTCTCTTGCTCGTGCCGCTCTTTCCAGGCGCGCAAAAACACAAGGCGGACACCGTTTCCCGAATTATTGCGCTTGCTAGGATGAGAACGCTCTTTTCGCATCGTCTTTTATATCCAAACCTCAGTCTGCAGAACCGTAGAGCAAACTGACCGACGATCGCGAAAATGCTAGCTTCGATACACTACCTCGATGCGTGAGCTCCTACCCGGACTATGGACTAGTGCACGTGAAGTGTGTCTGGTATCATTTGCCGAATAAGCGTATCGTTGTCGCCGACTTAGCAACAGCTAGTCAGCAGCGGGATTTGGTTTAGTCAAGGTTCGGAAACGATACGGAATCCCGGCTAGCTCCTTGCCGGCCGCTTCAACTTTCTCAAAATGTAAGCCTTCAGGATGACTTGTAAGCAGGCTTCGGATCGAACAAGCTGCTGATGAAACCGTTCGTTCGTCCAAAAATGTTTAGATTACAGTTTCTGATATCTGGATTTCACGCTTTCCAAACCTCAATCCGTAGCATTCCGTAGTGTCACGTAGCGCTTCTCCCAAACCCCGTGCTCCCTGCGTGCCGTCATCGTCAAGTTCTGCAACGGCATGCTGTCAGCCCTGTACCGGAACACCGGCTGGGGCCGCTTTTGAAGCGCCTCAAATTAGACCCTCTGTTCCCTGTTGCCATCGTCAGGTTCTGCAACGGCATGCTGTCAGCCCTGTACCGGAACACCGGCTGGGGCCGCTTTTGAAGCGCCTCAAATTAGACCCTCTGTTCCCTGTTGCCATCGTCAGGTTCTGCAACGGCATGCTGTCAGCCCTGTACCGGAACACCGGCTGGGGCCGCTTTTGAAGCGCCTCAAATTAGACCCTCTGTTCCCTGTTGCCATCGTCAGGTTCTGCAACGGCATGCTGTCAGCCCTGTACCGGAACACCGGCTGGGGCCGCTTTTGAAGCGCCTCAAATTAGACCCTCTGTTCCCTGTTGCCATCGTCAGGTTCTGCAACGGCATGCTGTCAGCCCTGTACCGGAACACCGGCTGGGGCCGCTTTTGAAGCGCCTCAAATTAGACCCTCTGTTCCCTGTTGCCATCGTCAGGTTCTGCAACGGCATGCTGTCAGCCCTGTACCGGAACACCGGCTGGGGCCGCTTTTGAAGCGCCTCAAATTAGACCCTCTGTTCCCTGTTGCCATCGTCAGGTTCTGCAACGGCATGCTGTCAGCCCTGTACCGGAACACCGGCTGGGGCCGCTTTTGAAGCGCCTCAAATTAGACCCTCTGTTCCCTGTTGCCATCGTCAGGTTCTGCAACGGCATGCTGTCAGCCCTGTACCGGAACACCGGCTGGGGCCGCTTTTGAAGCGCCTCAAATTAGACCCTCTGTTCCCTGTTGCCATCGTCAGGTTCTGCAACGGCATGCTGTCAGCCCTGTACCGGAACGCCGGCTGGGGCTGCGGCATTATTGGAGCAGCATCGCCTGACGCCGGCGCCGCCGCCACCGGCGCAGCGTCAGCAGCAGCAGCAGCGGCAGCAGAGCAAAAAGGTCCTGAGGAGGTTCAGGGGAGCAAGCTGCGGTCGTCAGTCACCTTCTCCCGCTTTTCAGGGGCGCATTTGGTACTGCACACCCGAAACACGTTAATACCTCCCACTTCCGTCCCTCTCTCAGCCACCATAATTCCTCTCATTTCGCCTCCTACTCAATCGCAACTCCTCTGTGCCTACATTCCTTATCCATTAACCCTTATCCAGACCCTCTATTCCACCCGTCCCATTGACACCCGTCACTTCGACACCCGACCCCCTCCTGCCTTCGTCCCTCCACCCCTTCACTCCCTCAGCTGGCAGGGACACCGGCAGCGCCGCCCGAGGTGGCGTGGGTGCGGCAGCTGGACTCAGAGGCGTCTGCGCTGAAGGAGTTCTCAGTCACCTTCTCTGAGGCCATCCGGAATGTGCGTGCTGTGACGCTGCCTGGAGGGCATGTGATGCTTGTGATGTATGTGATGTATGTGATGCTTGTGATGAATGTGATGCTTGTGATGCTTGTGGCATGTGATGCTTGTGATGCTTGTGGCATGTGATGCTTGTGGCATGTGATGCATGTGATGCTTTGTGGCATGTGACGGGTGATGCATGTGACATGTCGGGCATGACATGCGTGTAGTATGTGAGGCATGCGATGTGTGTAGCATCTGAAGCGCGACATGCATATTGCATCAGACGCATGAGATGTGGATGCATCGTGTTTCAAGTACTCAGCACAATGATCCAGCTACTCCTCTGTAACCCTGCTCGTCTGCTCCTCTCCTCTTTTCCTGCCCTCCTGTTCAGCTGCCTCTGGGTGTTCGCCTCTGGTCGCACAACCAGAAGGAGAAATCACAGGGCCGGGTGAGTGATTTCTGTGCATCTGTTCACGCATTTCGTTTTGAGCAAGAGCGAATGTGATCGCAATGAAGGGAGGGAAGCAAGGGAGGAAAAGAATGTGATTATCATTACTAGCATCAAATGTGTTCTTATATTTACCATCTTCCAAGCACGCACGCACGCCCTCCGCGTGCACGTACCTGCCATGCCCTTGCAGGTGCCTGTCATTGACATCTTCTCTCGGGAGAGACAGCCATCCGCATGCCATGGAGTCCCCCTGGGCGGCATTGGGTAAGCCCCTCATCTTGCCATCCCTGGCCTCGTAAGTGAGCAAGCCCCAGGGCTCCGACTTCGGTTCAAATCAAACCTGCCTCCTACTCGCACCTCTTGGCCTCCTACTTGCACCTCTTTGCCTCCTGCTTGCACCTCTTTGCCTCCTACTCGCACCTCTTTGCCTCCTACTCGCACCTCTTTGCCTCCTACTCGCACCTCTTTGCCTCCTACTCGCACGTCTTTGCCTCCTACTCGCACCGCTTTGCCTCCTACTCGCACCTCTTTGCCTCCTACTCGCACCTCTTTGCCTCCTACTTGCACCTCCTTGCCTCCTACTCGCACCACTTTGCCTCCTACTCGCACCTCTTTGCCTCCTACTTGCACTGCTTGCCTCCTACTTGCACCTCTTTGCCTCCTACTCGCACCTCTTTGCCTCCTACTTGCACCTCCTTGCCTCCTACTCGCACCACTTTGCCTCCTACTCGCACCTCTTTGCCTCCTACTCGCACCTCTTTGCCTCCTACTCGCACCTTCTTTGCCTCCTACTCGCACCTTCTTTGCCTCCATCGTCCATGCCCCTCCTTGTGCTCCCCTGTCACTGTTTGCCTGGCCCCACCGCCTTTTCTCCTGCGTGCAGCGCCTGTAGCATTGGCCGTGGTTTTAGAGGGGAGTTCAACCGCTGGCAGTTTGCTCCGGGGCAGTGCGACGACGGGCCCGTGGACGCCAACCAGTTCTCGGTAAGGCTTCTCCTACCCCATATGGGATGCTGTGCGCACGTTCTGAGTCATGTCTCCCCACGTACCGTGCCTGGCACTTTGCGCATGGGCAATGCGACCACAGCACTGTGTGTGCCAGCCAGTTGCCAGTCCTCTGTGAGGCGCCTGACTTCTGCTGTCCCGTGATTGTTGCAGATGGCTGCCCCTTGAGTAGTATATGGGATCGACGCTGGGAATTCCTAACGGGGATGCTGCAATTGTATTCGCCTGTTCCTGCCATTTTTCTGAATCCCTGACCTCCATAATCTCTTACCTAGGAGCCTGCTGCGGATACATCTTTGGTGCGTGTGTTGTGAGAGGCACACGTGGCGAATATCTCTTTTCACTTTGCGAGAGGTGCACCTGACACGTCTCTGCTCTCTTCACATGGCCCTCCCCTGCAGGTGTGCATCACCCGGCAGGCAGAGAGCCCAGCAGTCAATCCCCTCAAGTACTCGTCCGTGCTCTGCCCAGGCACGCCCAAGGCTCTTGAAGAGCCTCAGTTCTAAACCATTCTCCCCGCGGCCCTGCCCCTGCAGGTGTTTATCACCCGGCACACAGAAAAGCCAGGGGACGAGCCCCTCAAGTACTCGTCCGTGCTGTACCCAGGCATGCCCAAGGGCGTGCGGAAGAAGGGGAGCGGCACGGGGATTGACGCGTGGGGGTGGAACGTGGATGGCTCCCGCAGCACGTACTATGCGCTCTTCCCCCGCGCTTGGACCGTGTACCAAGGTATTGCGTGTAGCCAGCATAGTATCTCTGCTTGGGCGGGATACAGTGAGTGGATAGTGTGCATAGCATAGCATCCGTGTGGTGTGGGTGCGACCCTCAGCCACCCTCAGTCCGCCACTGTCATCGTAGCATCAATGTGGATGCGTCATGTGTGTTGCACGGTGGCATGCGACGACGTATTTGTGCTGATTTCGCTGACGATTCTGACAGACTGTTGTTGCAATGCGTGTCTGGGATGTGTGTTGTGTGCGCATCAGAACCGGACCCCCAGATGACCATCTCGTGCCGCCAGGTCTCTCCCTTCATCCCCAACAATTACCAAGAGAGCTCCCTTCCCTCCTCCGTCTTCTCTTTCACTGTAAGCTCTCACACCAGCTCCCTTTCCCCCCTTTCCCCTCCCCATATCTCTCTCTTTGTCACTCTCGTTTCGTGCTCTCCCCATCCTCCTTGGGATGGCGTTGCTTGCAATGCAACTCACCCGATTGTAGGCATAACCCCATGTTCACCACTCCGTGTTCACCACTCCGTGTTATCCACTTCGTGTTCACCACTCCGTGTTCACCACTCCGTGTTCACCACTCCGTGTTCACCACTCCGTGTGCAACCTTGCTTCCATGCCTTCCCTGTGCCCTGCCCATCTCAACAGGTGGCCAACACAGGTACCACAGCTGCTGACGTCACACTCGTTTTCTCCATAGCTGTGAGTCTCCTCTTGCTTTCTCTGCCAGTTAACATGGTCAATTTGCTTGCTTGCCGTGAGTCACTCTCTGCGTGCAAGTCTTTGTCTCTGGTTTCTGCTGTCAACATTGCGCTCTTTACAACGTGCTAAGCATGGTTTAGTAGTAGGGGTCTTGCACCCTGTGGCAACGCACGGCACTCACTCACTACTTGTTTGGGTTCACCTATTATCTCATCGCGTTGCAGAACTCTATAGGTGGAGATTCTGCCACGACTGGTGGACACTTGAATACTGCTTTTGAGTGAGCACCTGACCACACCACAACCAAGAAAACCTTTCATTCTTGCTGCATGTTGCAATTCTTGCCTTAAAAAAAAAAAAAACTACCTATGCTTTCTTGTGTGGCTCCGTCTGTGCAATCCTTTTTTTGTCCTTTCCTGCCAACACCCCTTGTGCCTCTTGCGTTTCTGTGTACCAGGATGGACCAGGGCATCAGAGGCGTGACCCTTCACCACAGGTGAGCATAAGAGTCAGCATCATGGATTTCTCAAGTTTCATCAACACGCAAAACGTCTTGTACTCATCACTCGCTTCACAGAATTAAGGTGCCCTTTTTTATATCCCTCACACCATCCCTTATCCCTCACGCCATCCCTCCTGCCTCCGCCCTCCTGCTGTCTCCATGCAGGTCCAGCAAAGTTGGTGGCCCGGTCACTCTAGCCATTGCAGCGAGAGGGGGGAATAGCACCGGCAAGACTGATCCCCCCTCTGCTTCCACTGCTCCCAACTCTTCTCCCGTGACTGCTGACTCAACTAACGGAATTGCTGACTCAGCTATGGGGGCCTCTGACTCAGCTAACCAGATTGCTGGCAGCCATGCAGCCAATGGGCGACAAGCCCACAGCACTCCCAGTGGTTGTGATTGTAACGGGGGTGATTCTACGAATGGCAGTGCTGATGGGGTCAGCATCTCTGTCTGCCCGCACTTCGTCCTCTCTGGGCCCTGCAAGGGCCTATCGGCTGCTGACATGTGGCAGCAGCTGGAGAAGGTGCGTTTGCCTTTGTGTAATTCTTGCCTCTTGCCTCACGCCATATCTACTTACTCTTTCTAGCCTCACATCCACCTTCCTCTTCCCACCCTCCCTTTATTTCCCCTGCTGCCTGTCCGTCATTATTCTCGTCCCGCCTCCTTCCCTCCCTCTCTCTTTCCCCACTTGTACCTCCCTCACTCCCTCCTTTCCCCCATCCCGAATCAACCCCGCATCGCATCCCTCCATCCCAGACAGGGCTACTGCAGCTGCAGTAGCTGCCACTCTCTCTCCTTCCCTCTCCCCATCCTCCCTCACCCTCCCCCCATCCCCCAACAGACTGGCACCTTCCCCCCCCACCACGAGTCAGCCCTGGCGTCGCACCCCTCCTTCCCCGGCACGGCCATTGGAGCAGCAGTGGCTGCCTCAGTGTCGGTGCCGCCAGGGGCCACACGCCACGTGGACTTCACTCTCTGCTGGGACGTGCCTGTTGTGCGCTTCAACCCGGACAGTCATTACCTCAGGTGCGAGTTTTAAAGAGCCACCCAGCACATTGATTTCACTCTCTGCTGTGGCATGCCTGCCGTGCGCTTCAACCCGGACAGTCATTATCTCAGGTGCGCCACGACTCGCACGCTCATCGTCCGTGTTTTTAAGAGCCACCCGGCGCATTTATTCCACTCTCTGCTGGGCCGTGCCTGTCGGCACTTCAATCCCGATAGCCACTACCTCTGGCGCATTCTGTTGCATTCTAGGGATGGTTTCAGTGCTTGATTTACTCTCCAGGCACTACCACTCCGGCCGAAAGCACTCCGGTCCAAAGCACTCCGGGCCAAAGCATTCCGGTCCAAAGCACTCTGGTCCAAAGCACTCCGGTTCAAAGCACTCAGTACAAAGCACTACGGTTCAAAGCACTACGGTCCAAAGCACGCCGGTCCAAAGCACTACGGTCCAAAACACTCTGGTCGGAATCACTCCGGTCCAAAGCACTCCGGTCAGAAGCACTCTGGTCGGAAGCACTCCGGTCCAAAGCACACTCCGGTCGGAAGCACTTCGGTCAGAAGCACTCAGGTCCAAAGCACTCCGGTCCAAAGCAGTCCGGTCCAAAGCACTACGGTCCAAAGCACGCCGGTCCAAAGCACTCTGGTCCAAAGCACTCCGGTCCAAGCATTCCGGTCGGAAGCACTCCGGTCGGAAGCACTTCGGAAGCACTCAGGTCCAAAGCACTCCGGTCCAAAGCAGTCCGGTCCAAAGCACTCCGGTCCAAAGCACTCCGGTCCAAAGCACTCCGGTCAGAAGCACTCCGGTCGTAAGCACTCCGGACGGAAGCACTCCGTACGAAAGCACTCCGATCGAAAGCACTCCGGTCCAAAGCACCCCGGTCCAAAGCACTCCGGTCCAAAGCACTCCAGTCAGAAGCACTCCGGTCCAAAGCTCTCCGGTCGAAAGCACTCCGGTCGAAAGCACTCCGGTCGAAAGCATTCCGGTCCAAAGCACCCCTGTTCAAAGCACTCCGGTCCAAAGCATTCCTACCTAAAGCACTCTGGTCGGAAACCCACCGGTCGAAAGCGCACTGGTTGAACAGTCACTTGACAGCAACATAAAGTGACACTTCAACTCTTGTACCATCTACTCCTCCCCCTCCCCCCTAACGCAACCAACACCCTCTAAACTGCATGCACCTGACACCCTGCACAGGCGCTACACTCGCTTCTATGGGCATCACGGCATGGCAGCGCACCTCCTGGCTAGAGATGCCCTGCTAGGTGAGTGATACTGGATGCATGATGCTGCACTTTGGTTTTGTGCTATGGGCATGATGGCATGGCAGCGCACCTCCTGGCTCGAGATGCTCTGCTGGGGTGAGTATGAAGGGTGAGTCACGGTGTAATGCCTTCTCTTCTTCTTTATTCGCTACAAGGTGCTGACCAATGGCCGGTGACCTCCTTTCTGGGTATCATGTGTGTGCAGGATACAGCAACTGGGAAGAGGCCATAGAGGCATGGCAGGCACCCATCCTCCATGATGACACACTGCCTCACTGGTGCGTGCTTTCATGCCTTTGGAGGTGACTGCTGGATGTTTCGATGCACTGACCACCGCCCGCCGCACACCGCCCACCGCTACCGCCGATGTCTCATCACCAACCGCCCACTGCCCACTGCTCTTGGTAATGTTGCAGTGCAACTCAGTCTTCTGAAGGCTTGATCTTTAACCGGAAAGGCTCTTCAAGACACGTATAGAGTTATGTCCACCGTCTACCGTCCACCGTCCACGGGTGGCGTCCACCATCCACTGTCCACCGGTGGCGTCCACCGTATACCCTCTATGGGTGGCGTCCACCGTCCACCGTCCACCGGTGGCGTCCACCTCTGTCCACCGTCCAACGGTCGTGCACTGTTGAGTCAACTCAAATGTCAGCTCGTCCTACCCGTGTTCTCTTCTCGCAGGTACCGAGTGACTCTCTTCAACGAGCTCTACTTCCTCACTGCAGGGGGCACCGTGTGGACGGGTAAGGGACATTTTGTGGACGGGTGGAGGGCCTTGTAAGGGGCACCGTGTGGACAGGTGTGGGGCACTGCGTTAACGGGTAAGGGCACTGTGTGGACGGGTAGGAACTAACTAAAGGTCCCTAAGGGGCGTGCATGTCCTGTGTTCAGTTTTTATGTTCTCTGGCTTTTGTGTATCGCCGAGGATGCATCACTGGCAACCCGGCCCTGTCTTTACCCCGTGCTTCTTCCCTGTCCCCTATAGACGGAGGGCCGCGGTTGGAGGAGAGGGAGCAGCACGAGTGGCTGAAGCCCAAGGACCCTTCGCAATCTATCGGTCGCTCGGTCCTTCTCCTGCCCTTGCCCTGTACGCTCACTCCCTTGCTCTGTACGCTCCCACTCCATGTGACTGCATTGGCTACTCGTTCCCCCTCCTGCCCTCCGTGTACTCTCACTCTCTCGCTTTGCATGCCTACCTTGCTGCCCCAAGAGTCCGAACCAGCAAGTCACATGTTTTTTTGTTGTGCAGAATCCCCCATGTTGTTTTGTTATTTTGAATGCAGAAAGCCAACCTAGGAATTGCACCTGCATAGCAAGGATTCCCTATGAGGAGAGAAAATTAAGGAGCTTTTGCTATCGGCGAGTTCACATCAATAGGACGCAGAATAGCGATCCATAAGAAGCCGGTGTTGCGTACAAACCCCCCATGCGTACAAACCCCCCATGCGTACCCCCCATGCGTACAAGCCCCCCATGCGTACAAGCCCCCCATGCGTACAAGCCCCCCATGCGTACAAGCCCCCCATGCGTACAAGCCCCCCATGCGTACAAACCCCCCATGCGTACAAACCCCCCATGCGTACAAACCCCCCATGCGTACAAACCCCCCATGCGTACAAACCCCCCATGCATACAAACCCCCCATGCGTACAAACCCCCCATGCATACAAACCCCCCATGCGTACAAACCCCCCATGCGTACAAAGCGTACAACCCCCCATGCGTACAAACCCCCCATGCGTACAAACCCCCCATGCATACAAACCCCCCATGCGTACAAACCCCCCATGCATACAAACCCCCATGCGTACAAACCCCCCATGCATACAAACTCCCCATGCGTACAAACCCCCCATGCGTACAAACCCCCCATGCGTACAAACCCCCCATGCGTACAAACCCCCCATGCGTACAAACCCCCCATGCATACAAACCCCCCATGCATACAAACCCCCCATGCGTACAAACCCCCCATGCATACAAACCCCCCATGCGTACAAACCCCCCATGCGTACAAACCCCCCATGCGTACAAACCCCCCATGCATACAAAACCCCCCATGCATACAAAACCCCCCATGCATACAAAACCCCCCATGCGTACAACCCCCCGTGCATACAAGCCCCCGTTCCCTACAACCCCCTGTCGCGTCCTACATCCCTCTCTCTTTCCTTGTTCCCGTATCCTCCCCTTACCTCTGACCCCCCTTCTACTCCCCCCCACCCTCCCCACAGCTGCCTTGCATGGCACAGAAAAGGCAGACGAGCTTGCACCTTCGTCTCTCTCTCCAGGCACCACGCTAGCAGCAGCAGCAGCAGCAGCAGCAGCAGCACGCAATGGAACAACCAAGCAGCCACCGCACGTCCCGTCGTCCTCCTTGCCTTTCTCTCCCGCACCCCTCCCGGGCCCGTGGAACAAGCCTCCCAAAATCCCAGGCAGGGCGCCCCTCCCTCCCAACCTTGTCCCCTCGGACTCCTCCTCCCTGCCTCCCTCCAACCTGCCGCGGGCGTCCTCTGCCCCCATCACGCCTGGCCGCCTGCTGTCCAGCACGTCGAGCTTGTTTGGCAGCATGGCCATCGGCATGTTCCCTGCTTCCCCCCTGCCCCTCTCCGCTAGAAAGCCTGCTGCACCTGCTGCTGCTGGTGCTGCTAGTTCTGCTGGTGCCACCGGTGTTGCTTCTCGTGCTGGCCTGTCTGCTTCGTCGTCCTTCACTCCACCTATCTTCGGGCCTTCGCTTTCCGGTGTTCTTGCCGAGTCCCAGGTGGATTTTCAGGTGAACCAGCGGGACGTGAGGTCGGGCTCATTATTGGATGACGGCGGTTTGGCTCTGGGTTGTGTTGGGCGGATATCTGAGAGACAAGAGGAAGGGGAGGACGCGGAAAGGGAGGGAGGAGGAGAGGGGAGGAGCAGCGGCGTTAGTGCAATGGGCACAATGGTTCTAGAGTCAGCAGGCAATGATGCTGGTAGAGCGATGGCAGCTGGGGCGGAGAGGCGCTCACATGATGCAGAGACAGCGTCCACCAGACAAAGCAACAACACAGACGCGTCTTCACCCAGACAACACAGCGACATCTTGTCTGCTTCCCTTGCCTCTCCTCCCTCGCCTTCCTCCCTCTCCTCCACACCACCACAACCCCGCCAACAATCCTCCCTCTCCCCCTCGTCACAACCCCGCCTCTCCATCTCCCCCTCTTCACAACCGCATCCCTCCCACTCGCTCCCGCCCCTGACCCCCCACGAGAAGGCCCTTGACTTGCCAGCGCCCATGGCAGGGCGCCTGGCGGGGGGCCCTCTCATGCCGCACGAGCACTACAGCTGGCGCCTGTGCTCAGGGGTGCAGCTGCTGGGGGAGGGGAGGGCGGAGGGCGCTGGGGGGTTCGGTGGATTGGGGGGATTGAGGGGGAGGAGGGTGGGGAAGAGGGGGGGGGGGGGAGGAGGAGGAGGAGGAGGAGGAGGAGGAGGAGGAGGAGAATGTGGGGCAGTTTCTTTATCTCGAGGGGCTTGAGTATATCATGTGGAACACGTGAGTGTGTGGGCGAACTAATACGTCTTGTTTTTTGTAGATTTATTGTTGCATCCGTCATTTTCCCACTCGTCCTCTCCTTCCAACGGTGCAATCGTCTCTGTGCTTTCCCTTCCCCTCCCTTTTCCCCCCCCATCCCGGCCCCGCCAGCTACGACGTGCACTTCTATGCCTCCTTCGCCCTGCTCGCCCTCTTCCCTCTGCTGGAGCTCAGCCTTCAAAGAGACTTTGCTGTCAGCACTCTGCTGCAGGTACATGGTTTATGTCGTCCTCTTATAGCCATGCACTCTTGCTCTCCCTCTCCGCCCCCCCCGCTCTCAGTTAGAAATTGATGAGTGTAGTCTTGTTTTGCGAGGTGACTTTTGAGTCGACTCAAAAGTCGTCTTGTTTTGCATAGCCCCTCTCTGCATCCCTTTCTCTCTCCCCCTCCCTCCCCCCTGCCCCCTCCCCCTCAACGCCCCATCCGACCAGCAACAGCACATGTCTCGGTTCCTATCGGGTGGCACATCTGGTGTGAGCAACATGCGGGGCTGCACGCCTCAGCAGCACTCCCATCCCCACGCTCCTCTGTCTCCTCCCCCTCCCCCCTTCCCCCCCCCACTAGGAACGGCGCATGACTCGGTTTCTGTCGGACGGGGCGTCTGGGGTGAACAAGATGCGCGGCAGCGTGCCGCACGACCCACTCCAACCCCACTCTCTTTTCCTTCCTCCGTTCATCCCTCCCCTCACCCCTCCACCCAAACAGCAACGGCGCATGACTCGGTTCCTGGCGGACGGGGCATCCGGGGTGAACAAGATGTGAGACAGGGTGCCGCACGACCATTCCTCCACCCCTCTCTCCTTTGCTCTCTTTGTCTTGCGCCGCCCCCCCTGCCCTCCAGCAACGGCGCATGACTCGGTTCCTGGCGGACGGGGCGTCTGGGGTGAACAAGATGCGGGGCAGCGTGCCGCACGACCTGGGGTGCCACGACCCGTGGGTCTTCCCCAATGCGTACAACATCCATGACACCGCGCACTGGAAGGATCTCAACTGCAAATTCGTGCTGCAGGTGGGTACTCTCTCCCCTTGTTATCTTTATCCCCCTTCTATTATCCTTATCCCCCTGTATTATCCTTATCCCCCCTTATCCCCCTCTTTTATCCTTATCCCCCCTCTTTTATCCTTATCCCCCCTCTGCTATCTTCTCTCCCCTCTGCTCGTCTCCAACACCTACAACATCTACGACACTGCACGGTGGAAGGAACCCAAATTACAAGTTTGTGCTGCAGGCGGGCCATGCTCTTGCCCCTCTGCTCCCCCCTCTCTGCTCCCCCCCTCTGTTCTCCCCCTCTGCGCCGTCCAAAGAGAGACTCTCTCTGGCAACTCCCTCCTCTGCATGCTTTATGTGTGCCGAGGCTTCAAGGTCACACGCAACGTGCCGAGGCTTCAAGGTCACACGCAACGTGCCGAGGCTTCAAGGTCACACGCAACGTGCCGAGGCTTCAAGGTCACACGCAACGTGCTGAGGCTTCAAGGTCACACGCAACGGGCTGAGGCTTCAAGGTCACACGCAACGTGCTGAGGCTTCAAGGTCACACGCAACGTGCTGAGGCTTCAAGGTCACACGCAACGTGCCGAGGCTTCAAGGTCACACGCAACGTGCCGAGGCTTCAAGGTCACACGCAACGTGCTGAGGCTTCAAGGTCACACGCAACGTGCTGAGGCTTCAAGGTCACACGCAACGTGCTGAGGCTTCAAGGTCACACGCAACGTGCAGTTTTGCCCGCCAGTGCTTTTGAGTCAACCCAAAACCAGGCGCTGTGGCTGGTGGTGGTGGCAGCCATGGAGTTTTTGAGAATTCTCAAAAACACCCTGCAGCCATGGACACTGGGAGCGGAGTCTAATTTTGAGGCGCCTCATGATAGGTGTGATAGGAGTCTAGTTTTGAGGCGCCAGGAAGCATGCCCTCTCTCCTCCAAGCGAGACACTTGCACTGCATGCCCTCTCTCCTCCCCTGCATGCACGCATCAGGTGGACGCCGTGGAGCGGTTTGATTATATTGGTGGGACTCTCTCTTTTTCGTCCTTTTTACCCATCTGTACACCAGGTGTGGTGTGGGTTACTACAAGGCCACAGGAAGCACGCGCTTCTGCCGTGGAGAGGTTTGAGTTCGATGGCGACACGCGCCATGCCTTCCCTCCTCCCCGTGCATGCGCCAGGTGTGGCTAGACTTCAGGGCCACGCCAACACGCGCTTCTGCCGGGCGTTGTGGCCGGAGGTTGTGGCAGCCTTGGATGCGGTGGAGCGGTTGTCTCCAGATTGACAGGCTCTCTCTGGCCCCTCCCTCCTTCCCATGCATTCGTGCACCAGGTGTGCCGAGACTCCAGGGCCACAGGGAACCGTCAGCTCTGCTGTGCAGTGTGGCCGGTGGTGGTGGCAGCCTCGGACGCCGTGGAGCGGTTCGAGTGTAATGGAGACAGGTGTCTACCCTTCCTTTACTCCCCGTTTCTACCCTTTCACGCACCAGGTGTGCCGTGATTTCAAGGCCACGGGAAACACACGCTTCTGCCGCGCGGTGTGGCCGGCGGTGGTGGCAGCGATGGACACGGTGGAACGGTTCGACCGCGACGCCGATGGGCTCATTGAGAACGACGGGTTTCCTGATCAGACCTACGACAACTGGTACGGGTCGCATGCATGGTGAGGGCACTGGGGAGTTCAATGGTGTGGGGTAGGCGCCATGGGAGCCATGGGGCGGCTTGACAGGGATGACGATGGGCTCGTTGAGAACGACGGGTTCCCCGACCAGACCTGCGACAACTGGTACGGGTCGCAGCAACAATAGGTGTTGCCATTTGCGTCTGTGATAAATTGCACGGAGCGAATCTTAGGTATGTTGGGTGCATGAAGTGGGCGCAGCTGCGGTGCAGCTCGAGTCATCCCAACTCCCCCTCCCTGCTTCCCAATCCTCCGCATTTCCCCTCCAGGCCGGTGCACGGAGTGAGTGCCTACTGCGGTGGGCTGTGGCTGGCAGCGCTGCAGGCAGGTGCTGCCATGGCAGACGTGGTGGGGGAGGACAAGTACGCGCAGTACTGGCGGCGGCAGTGCGAGCGGGTGAGTGCTGATGCGCCATATCAGGGGCAGTCTTGAGGTGATGTTCCTTGAAGCATGAAGTATGCACGGTACTGGCAGACGTGGTGGGGGAGGACAAGTACGCGCAGTACTGGCGGCGCATTGCGAGCGGGTGGGTGTTGGGGCTTGAGGTAGTGCGAGGGGGTGGGTGTTGGGGCTTGAGGTAGTGCGAGCGGGTGAGAGGGGAGATGGGGGGTGAGCGTTATGGCTGCCTGCTTGCCAGTGCTGATGATGTGGCTCTTACATGCCTCCACTTCTCCATAACCCACACCTCAATTCTCCATAACCCATGTCCTCATGTCCTCATGTCCTCATGTCCTCATGTCCTCATGTCCTCATGTCCTCATGTCCTCATGTCCTCATGTCCTCATGTCCTCATGTCCTCATGTCCTCATGTTCCCATTTCATCATGCAGGGTCGGGAGGCTTTTATTAGCAAGCTATGGAATGGCAGGTATGGGCACCCGTGCATCAGGCTAAATGCATGCATATCACCCTATGGGGCTAAATGCATGGCATATCACCCTATGGGGCTGAATGCATGGCATATCACCCTATGGGGCTGAATGCACGGCACATCACCCTATGGGGCTGAGTGCATGGCGTTTCACCTGGGGCTGATTGGATGGCAACATCTACACTCACCTCCTCCTGTAGAGCTTTCCTCTTTCTCCCTTTCCACATGACCCACTCTTGTCACTCACTCGTTTGCTCGTTCTTAGGCACTCTAACCACGTGCTTAGGCACTCTAACCCCGTTCTTAGGCACTCTAACCACGTTCTTAGGCACTCTAAACACATTCAACACGTCTCAGGGTGCGCTCTTGCCCCCGCCTATGTACCCCTCTCCTTGCACCCCTCTCCTTGCACCCCTCTCCTTGCACCCCTCTCCTTGCACCCCTCTCCTTGCCCCCCTTGCCTTGCCCTCGCCAGGTACTTCAACTACGACAGTGGCAGCAGCAGCAACAGCAACTCCATTCAAGCGGATCAGCTGGCAGGCCAGTGGTGAGTCAAGGGGTGATGGCGTGAGTGAAGGGGTGATGGCATTGATGAGCGAAGGGGTGATGGGTAGGGGTAGGTGGAATGAGCTGGAAAAGCAGTGGAAAGGTCAATGCCTCATGGGGGAGAGGTGTTAGCCTGTGCCTGCTCGCGTGTCACTCTCTCCTTGGTGGATTCTTCTGAAGCGCTGATCTTCAGCTTCTCGGTGCCTCGCACCTCAACTCTCCCTTCTCTCTCCGCCACTCTTCTCGCCCCCCCCTCTCACATGTCGCTGCCAGGTACCTCTGGAGCTGTGGCCTGCCGCCCCTCTTTGACTCGTCCATGGCGTGCAAAGCGCTGCAGATGGTATTCGAGTGAGTGGAGAGTGGTGCAGATGGTGTTCGAGGGAGTGGGGAGTGGTGCAGATGGCATTCGAGTGAGTGGGGGGTACTGCAGTCAATATACTGCCTCTAATATTTGAGTTAGTATTGTCGAGGGTGTTTTTAGTTAACACTGTAGATAATATTTGAGTGGCCTGGCATGGCAACATTCCTTTTGCCATTCCCCATGCCCCGTGCCCCATGCCGGATGCCGGATGCCACCCATTAGGTACAATGTGATGCGACTGGAGGGAGGGCGCATGGGGGCAGTCAATGGCATGCGACCCAATGGGCAGGTGGGGATCGAATAGGCGGGCACTGGGCAGGGGGTAATGGCCCATGCATCGCCATGACCCATGCATCACCATGACCCATGCATCACCATGACCCATGCATCACCATGACCCATGCATCACCATGGCCCATGGGGCTAATCCACTGTATCTCAGCCTTCCCCTATCCTTGTTTGGGCCTCACACACTCATGAACCCACTCTTGCTGCTACTGCTCCACTCTTCATGTGTCCTTCTGCTCACTGCTGACATGCCACATGCTCAATGCCCCGTTCTCCATGCCATGTGCTCAATGCCATGTGCTTACAGGTGGATGACACGTGCTTGCAATCGCGGGAGGTGTGGACAGGTGTCACGTACGGATTGGCTGCCACAATGATCTATGAGGTTCTGCACCATGCACCATGCACCACACCCCACGCACCATGCACCATGCACCATGCACCATGCACCATGCACCATGCACCACACACCATGCACCATGCACCATGCACCATGCACCATGCGCCATTGCCCATGCAACATACAGCATTCACCCTGCATGTGTCTCGCTCGTGTCCCCATCAGTCACTCTCATGGCTTGGCATGGGGCGCCTCGAGGCACCACCATGCTTGTGCCTTCCATCCCTCTAGGCATCAACTTGCACATGGCATGGCATGGCCTCACGCCGCCTCTCACTGGGCTTCAATCCGCTTCATGGCATGAGAGGGGTGCTCTCGCATGGATTTGCTGATTCCGCCTCTGCTCTCCTCCCTGCTCAGCAGTGATGTGCCGCCCTGATATGCGGTGTTGTGTTGTGCTTCTTTCTATAAGAAAACTGAAACCTCATGTGTCAAACGTGCACTGCGGCTTTAACCCACTAATACCTCCCCCTCCCCACTCTTCCATGTGTGCGCCAGGGCATGCGCTCTCAGGCCTTCCGCACAGCGCAGGGCATTCACCAGGCGGGGTGGAACGACCTGGGGTGAGCTGGGTGGGTTGATGGGATGTGCTGATATGAGCCTGTGGGCTTGGGTGAGCGTGATATGGGCTGATGCTGCAAGTGTGCAAATGATGCTTGGGAGCAATGTCCTCAAATGGGTATGTTACATGGGGACTTGTCATGATAGAGTGACTCCCCACCCCCTTTCACTTTTCTCACTCTTTCTCCGCCCCTCTTTGACAATGGGCAGTTATTGGTTCCAAACCCCGGAGGGTTGGGACACTGATGGTCGCTTTCGCTCATTAGCATACATGCGGCCACTTGCCATCTGGGCTATGCACTCGGCCTTGAGCAGTGCAGAAATTAAGAAGTCTTAACACCGAAGAAGGGAACTCGCCAGTGAATGTATCTAAACGCCTCATTATTTCATGTGTTTGTGTTTCATTCATGTGAAGTGCAAATATGAACGAGCTGCTATCACACGAATGATATATCATACCATGTACGCAAATGGATACAAGCAGTTGGGGAATGTGTCCCATTCCAACCCTGGGATGTGTTTATTGCAGAACCTAGGACAGTTCCTGCGTCGCGTCACCCGCGGGTGTCTTCTGGCTCTGGGGCAAACCTGGTGTCTCGTAGTCAAACTGCGTGTCTTCCCTTAAAACGGATGTGTGACAATTTCCGAGGGCGAAAGTCGCTGAACCGAAAATGCGACCCCACACACAGTACCGCGAGCCCAACGCGACAAAAACGGGATGGTGCACCGCCCTTCTTCCTGAAATCGAGTCTTGTGGCAAACGTTGCTTTGCGTTGAATTTCCGTACGAAGGCGCTATTTGTACACCCAATTTTGCAATTTAGTACAGCGCATGCATTTCGTTAATGGACCTGCACGCTAGCCTTCAAGTTTCTGTCTCGGATCTACAGTACACTTTGGGTTAGGGCGTGTCCAGCGCGTTCATTTTGCCCCAACACGATTTTTTGACGTTTTTTTAACACGCCGAAATATTGATTCGCCAAGTGTGAATGTGTTGAGGTACACCCACAGTATCAACAGCAAAACGCGCGGATACGAGCCCCGCCCATGGCTATACAAATGAGCGGGTGTGCAGTGCGCACATAACAGACTGAGATGCGAAAACAGCAGGGTAACCGAATTTCGTCCCGGGAAAGAGGCCCCGTGCGAGTCGCGCATGCAACTCCAATTCTTCTTCCGCTTGTTTCGCCGTGCTTCGCAAGCGTCACGAAAGCCTGGCGAGAGTAAGCGTTCTATTTTTTGCCAGCCAGGATTTGGACGTTTCTACCGTGTACATAATTTGCGCACGATTTTCATTCGGTTCGGAAACGTGTGGCCCACGTCTGTGGGCACATTTGGAGGGTGTCCGCCAAAACCGTCAATTTATCGTGCGTGTCCGAATGGACACGAAATTTCGGGTTACCAGGTCAAAAGTTTGTACCTGATATGCAAAGTGAATAGTAAACGAACGCGCTGTACACGCCCTTAGGCGTTTTGTCCACAGTACACCTATCCGGCGCCATTTTCTCAAATCACTATTTGCTATCGCTTGTGGCGCTGTAGCTTGTCGTTAGTGGAGGGGTGAGGAATTAGCGCCAACTGGGAAGTTGGCGTTAATTTCTCAAAGAGCAAGCGCGCGAAACTGGCTCTGAGTCAGCGCGCGCCAAAAAAGAGATGACTAAGCGACACCAGGCCTCCCTTGACATTGCGCGCAAGTCGTAAATTACAAGCGTGCACACGAGTGCACACAACAGTGTGCTTCATATACAACACATAGCAAATATAAGCGTTGCAACAGATGGAAAAATAACAATAACACCCTAAACTTTCAGAAGCATGTTAGTCCGAGCAACCAATTCAAATTTAGAATGGAAAAGAGACAAAATAAAATCAGTCATGGGAAAAATAATGCAAATCCAATCAAAGCCCCAAGCTAGCGCGTGCCCATTGTACGAGGTCGGGATACGGGCAAGTGGATGACAGCGCTCTCGAATTGCGCTTGACTGACGGCTTGAAAAAGCTAGCTAGGCGACTGTCTGGTGCTAACTCAGGCAGCCTTGCAACAGCTGCCCGTGTGGAACCAGGAGCGGCGTCTGCTTCAATCGGGGGGGCGTTGTTAAAGTCAACCAGGGCAGAACGGGAAGAAGGATATGGAAACTAGCGGCCAATTCTCTCTTGATGGGTGAGGGGTTGTCCAACATAAAAAATGGGCAGAGCATCATCAAATGTTATGAACTCCCGGCCAATCATGGGCGTGCCGCGAAGCCGAAGCCGCCCGATGAGGCGCGTGAGGGAAGTGGGATCCTCTGTGGGAGGATCTTGGGAGGGCCCCTCAAACACACGACTTAGTCCCCATGCTGTAAGCCATGAGCAAGGTACTATCCCACTACAGCGCCAACACCGTCGCACGATCTGAAAGTCCGATTGCATCCACACCCCACTTACCCATACTATGGCCGTGCGTAGATCGGGCCGCTTGGGCAGCCCCTCCTCCCCCTCCCCCTCTCCTTGCAGTGGACCTTGTCACCATGCTCCCCTCCGTCATGACCCCTATACTCTCGCCATCCGCGCCCGTTTAATTGGTCTTTTCGCCCGCCCCAACCACTACACGCTCTGGCCTTTCTAACTCCTTGATAAGCCAATCCATCAATAGCCTCTTGTAGCGCAACTTGAGTGTGGAGATGACACCTTAATCGAGCAGTTGAACGTGTGACGTGCAGTTTGGCGGGAGGTAGACGACTCGTACATAAGGAATGTCGACGATCTTGATCCCCTTGTACTCATGCTTTGTGATGTCCACAATCGACCGCACGATGTTGTAAGTGCTAGCGTTGTCCACAAGGAGCACAATGTGACGTCCTTGGTCCTGCATTTGCGCACTCTTTGTATCGAGCCACTGCGGGAAAACCTACCAAGGTGTGTAAAGATTATATGTGAAGGGTACAACGTCGTCATTTCTATGGGAAATGCACACTTATCATCTCAGTTGGGCTACTCAGCATAACAGAACCAAGCGCATGCTCATTAATCAAGAGACCAAGCACGAAAAGACTCACCTCTGCTGTCATCCACGCCCGACCATTTGAGCGGTACCATGCGAAATTCTGCACATGAAAATCCCCGCAGAATGAACGTGGGCGGCAGCTCTTGCCTATAACGATGGACGGTAAGAACTCGGAGCCATCCGTGGTCACACATAGGCCGAGGGTGAACCGCTCCTTATCAACCTTGCAACCACTTAGAGATTGGGATGCATAGGATCTTCGGGGTTGTTGATCAGAGAGGAACCCCGTCTCTTCCATGTTGAACACGTCGGAGGGTTCATAATGGCTTAGAATCTCAGGGATAATCTCTCGCGCGAGACCGATAGAATGCGCATTTGCATCCGTCACCTCTCCCTTGCGGATGTACGATGCCAACCCTAAGCGGGCCAATGCTCGGCATAGCCATCATGGGCTAACATCGCAGTCTTTCGACAGTTTCATCTCGACGGCTAAATCTTTCGCCTTTGCGAGAAGCACATGGAAGGAGACGGGATTATTCGCCTCATTTTGATGAGCTGCCCACTGAGATAACCTAGTCTCTAACGCGGGGTAATGACCCTTGGTCTTGCATTTCCGTGTAGGCGGCAGGGTGGTGCATTCGAGCCAATATTTTCCATTTTGGATAATTTTCTGGATAGTGGTACGATGAGGCGTCATATTAAATTCTGCCTCCACCCAGTCTAATAGATCCTTATTTTCAAGGTTCTGATTGTCTGCTGCATATAGAATGAGTCTCCGCTTCTCGTCTAACGTTAGTGCAGTATTACGCCTTGGGGTTGGCATGGTCTACGTTCTGTTTCTCCGTAAAAAAATGAGATGTTGTGTGCGTGAGTCTGCTGCGTTCCGTTCTGTCGTTTGGGTGAGTCTGCTGCTCTATGTTCTGCTCTTTGCACTCTGTGGGTTGCGTCTGAGCTCATTATGAGGGAACCGCGGCAACACACGCATTGGGAATTGGCCACGGCGGGGTATTGCTGGGCAAATTCAATGCTTGGAACGTTTCTTGTTAGTTTGCATATGTGTGGGGAGTTTTGATGTGGTGTGCATCTTTCAACCTTTGCACCCGTTCGTTTCGTATTTTTGTTTGGAGCGAATTCTGATTGGCGCGTGACCTCTTCTAAGGACCCCTAATTCCTTCACGAAAAATTGTGGTTTGCTGCGGGGCGCAATCCAAGTCGACAAACCGGTTGTATACACGTGGGTTTATATGCGCCTCAGTTTGGGTTCCTTGGGTGTGGTTGTGTTCGGACTGAGATGGGGGAGGATTCATCGCTGAGCTCAGCTAGTTGCTGACTTGGTGAAGTGTGACACACCTTCCCCAAAAGTTTCGATATTTACACGCGTCAGTTTGGGGCGGCAACTGGCAAGTGGTTTAGGAAGGCGACAAAACCTGAGAATTTGTTGGGTGAGAAATTGGCACGCAACTAGTTGTATAGTGTTCCTTGGCGACAACGATTTGGGCGCTTGGCCAACCGGCTACCCTTGATTTTTAAGTTCGCTTCACTAACAAAAGTCGTGGACACTGGAAAACTTCCCACCACTCCCATGTCTTTCTGCGTCTCACATCCGCGGATGCACGACGCAGGAACGGGTCATAAGCCTTCCCATGTCTCTAGGGGTCGCCCTGGTGAATTAAACTTTACCCCACCCACGTCAATCATCCAGTCCAGGTGCAGTAAGGGCAGGTTTAGTGTGTTCATTTTGCGCTGACACGTGCCTTTTACGTCTTCTGTACATGTTCAAAACTTGTTACGGCGAGTGTAGATGTCGCGAGGCTCAAGTGTCGACTACAGAGAGCATATGTAAGGAATTTCCATTCCTTACTGGGTCGTACGCTAGCGCGTACACCTGAAATCCTGGACTCGTCACGTTCGGCCTCAATTATCGGCCCAACCTCTTTCCGAGTCGCGTCCAGCACTGTCGTCACATTGCCGAACCTACCCATGTTCCGAGGTTATCGCCCTAGCACGCCAACACCTATATAACCTCGTGCCTTCATTGCAATAGCGACCTTGTATTCTCACGTTATATTTCATTGACACGTCCTGTGTCATAACAACATGCTTAGCTCGGCCTTGTGTCCCGCCGTTGATACGACAAATTGCTCTGCGAAGCGAAAAGAATAGAGCTTGGCAAAATCTGCTGAGTTACGATATTACGGGACCCGAAAACGAGGCCTCGCTATTTTTTCCCTGGCATTGAAGAGGTTGCATCACGATGACGAAGTGGTGTGTTCAATTTTCGCCAGCATGGGAGTCTGTTTCGGGTACGATTTCCAGCCAGATTCAAAACGTGCCCCACACGACTACTGGGACGCTTCGAGAGCATCCGCTAAAACCATGCACTTACTGCGCGGGTCCTAAAAGACATGGAATTTCGGGTTGCCATAGCTGAATTCTGTACTAGTCACTTCAACTGAATAGTATATGACGCAATGGACACGCACTAAAAATTCGGACCATTTTTGGAGGCCAAAAAACTGTATCGGCCAGGTCGGAAATGCGGGGTTTTCTGCCTCACATACACTTATCGCGGAGATGTAAAATGTAGGGTAATTTGCTGACAGATCAGCAACTTTGACCAGCTGATCTGTACGGTGTAGATCAGTTCTCGCAACCTAAAAACAACATCTTTCTAATATGACGCACTACGAACAGTTCTCAATCATCAACATTAGCAGGGCTTTTTTATTTGATGTGGGGGTGGTTCGTTTTTCCGTACTTTAGAGGTGACACATCGGCAAATCCCGTTTCAACCAAGGGTATACACAATAATTTTCACACCCAGTATTTTCACAAAGGGTGCCGCTGAGAGGGTATTCACCCCCCGAAAGCATCTCCTGAAGACCACATCCCGATACCTTTGAAAACAACCAGAACTTAGGTTTCTATACGAAATAATTACTGCTCGATTTAGTGTTTCTCGAGTCAGGAAACCCGACGTCAGCTTAGGCAGTGCTAATGTTTTTTCCCCGCGTGGAGTCTGCCAAGCTTAGGCCGTAGGAACAAGGGGGTACTATCTACGCACTCAGAAATATTCAGGGTAGAAACAAAAGTTTTTCTGCCGCTCATTTTCAGGGTGTAAGATTACCGCGGGCCAGGTGTATAGGGGCTCACAAAGCGCCAAAAACATCGCTACACCAATAGTTTATCTTGTTTTCTTTGACAAGGCAGGATGATTACCCTGAACTGTTTTTTTTCCCCCTTGCCTTGTCAATCTCCACGTCAACGAACCTCATGTGTGGATTCGCTCGTGTGTGGAAGAACACCACCACACCAGGGCTTATTGATTGTTTTTGAACAGCTCTGACGCTCAGAGCTCCCTTCAATTTTCGATCTGAAAATCCAGGTTCCGAATATATACTGCTCTGTTTTTTCGGGGTCAGCCGGGAAAAAGCTCGGCGAGCGCACATTTCCACGGATTTTACTTGAGGTTGTTCCAAGCTCTGTGTCACATTGGAGTCGCGTGTGTTCTAGGGTATGAAGGGAGTATTCCTTCCCACGAAGTAGCTTGGTAGCCAGGTCCTAGAAGAGTGACGGGTGGAGGGGTGAGATAAGGGGTGAGGGGAGGGATGGGACGCCGGGAGAGGGAGGGTGGAGGTAGTGGAAAAATCAGGGTACCTGGAAAATTTCTTGGAGTTTCCAGGATCGCCTGACGATCTTCCCAGATTTTGTCAGAGCTGATTAAAAAAACCAGGAAGAAAATATCAGCGCGGGTCTAATAACTACCTTAAAATTTCAGTCAAGTCAGGAAAAACGCCCTGATAACATATGCCCTGCAGCACACCACACCACACCACACGGGTTTCCACCTTTCCGAGAAACTGTGGCAGATGCGGTACTGTAGCAATTACAGTTACTGTACAGTCATTCGCCTTGTTCTTTTTTGAGCGGTGGTCATGCGAATGTCCGAAGTGAGCCCCAATTCGAATGCATAGAAAGGACACCTTTGCTGGCAGCAATGCACACTTGGCAGCGTCACAGTGGCTGACTTGGTTCCTAGCAGCATTTCGTTTCCAAGATTCGTGTAGGTTCCTGCTTTTGCAAGATTCCAGTCCTGCACCTTTGTTTGGAAAATTGGCCTGGGGGCTGGGATTCCTACCAGAAGTGTCCCGAAGTTTTCAAAGCACAGATGATCCAAGGGATTGTGCTGAAATGCGCTCTGTAGTTCCTCCCGAATTCAATAAGGTGATTCTGCATTATGATAGTTAATCTCGCACAACCTTCATCAATTCCCTTTATACGACGAGGCTGGCACAGTTCATTAGACTGGCAATTAACCCTCACGGGTCGTTTCTCGGACTCCGCAAGTCGCAGCATTGAGTGTGGCCATTTCCACCACTTGACTCAGTTATTTCGAGACCTGGAATGTTCTCGAGTCAAGCACAACCGAAAGCTATTTAAGCTAGAGCAGTTATCTCGTGACTAGACTTAAAGGCAGGGGCTAAGGGTATGAGAATCTGCAGTGGGCTATTGTCGGTAGGTTTGGGAGTGGGCCCGGGGTCAGGGTGTGTTAGAGTACGGAAGTTTGACAATTTGGTTTATGTTTTCTGTGAAAACCTACTTTCGAAAACCCCCCCCTCCCCCCCCTATTTTCCGTGGCTACTAAATTTGCGCGTTATCAAGTGTGTAGAAGATTCGGCAATCGTGCTTCCATTCTGCTCCGCCGAGCCCGACAAGCAGACCGTGTCGAGGGAAAGCTGTAGATAAATGATTTTGCCACATGTCATCTAGAGAGAGGAGGAGAAAAGGTTTGTTGGCGTGGATCTGCCTTTCCAGCCCAGCACTTGCACCTAGCTGGATTTTCGAAAAGTGAGAACGGCAAGTGGAGAAACGATTGTGAATGGGAGCGTCTCAGTCATCCTGCACTGCAGTGGCCAGGCCATGGCTGGCAGTGCTGCCACATCGCTGTGGGCCGTCCCCCGCCCCCGGTCATCCCTGCAGCCCTGCCTCCTCCTGAGTCTGTCTGTCTGTCCGTCGTCCCCCACCCCACTCTGCAGCAGGCTAGCTGTGCTTTCCTTCCCACTGCTCCCTCCGTGCCTCACGCGTCTCTTTCTGCCAACTTTTGCCTTCTCCAACCCACCTTCCCACACATCCACGCTGGAGCACCAACCCCTTTCCTCGCTGTCGCCTGGTTGATTCTCTTTCTCACGCTTCTGCCTTTCTATGAGCCACGGTGCAGAGACTCCAGCACTGCAGCAGATGTCCTGCCTTTCGCCACTCGATTCTTCCTCCTCTCTTCTCCTTCTACAGTACTCCGAGTAATAGTCGCCAGCGATAGTACGCGAGCCTTAGATCCTCCGCGTCCTCTTCGGGTTTCCCAACGCTAAGTTCGTTCCTTTTTTTCTCCGTTCGCCGCTAGAGGAGTTTCTAGCGCTCGGAATGGCGTCGTCAGTAGCCGTCGATTATATCCACGAGCCGCCGCGCTCGCAAGCAGACTACCAGCAATGGGAGCCACAGGCACCGCCAACCTCACTACCATCTCCGTTGAACACCTCCCGTCACCCTCACCACCCTCACCACCACCACCACCAGCGGTCCAGCGACGTTCACCCTTCCATCATGTCCCCCATTGCGTCGAATTGCGACCATCTTTCGTCGCCGTCGCCCGTCGCCGAGTCTCGGCTCGCACAGCATCGCCGAGTCTCGTCGCTCACACCGTCCCTCCACGAACCGTCGCATTCGCGTCGCTCTTCGGCCTCTGCCTTCGACCTGCGCGCGCTGGAGCTTGAACCGAGCATTACTGAATCAAGTGTGACTGAATCGAGCGTGACTGAATCGCAGGGTGACGACGACGGCGCGAGCTCCACCACCACCACCAGCACCGTTTCGTGCCATAACGCGTTCGGCGTCTTCGCGCGCCGCAGGCGCCGCCCGAGCGCTCGCAGAGAGAGGTCAGAGCAGTCTGAGAGATCAGCGAGATCAGAGAGGTCCGCCGCTCTGAGCCCTCCGGCTGACGTGAACCTTTCTTGGACGAGAGCTGCGCATGTGGCCCCGGCACCAGAGCTGCCGCGCCTGCCCCGCCATGAGATGCGGCGTGACTTGCGGAGGAGAGACGGAGAGGAGAGTGACGACGAGGGGGACGGCGGCGGCGGCGGTAGAAGCGGCCGAGCCGGCGCGGCGGTTTCTATTTTGAAGGACGGGTCGCCGATCGCCGCTCCGCGCCAGGCGCGCGGCGTTGACTCCGCCGCGTGGGGGCAGCAGCTCGGCGCGCTGCCGGCTGCCGCGCTGCCGCGGCCCATCGCCGGCGCGAGCCGGCAGAAGCCGCCGCTCGCGCTGCGGCTGCGCCGCTACGGCGAGCGCGACGGCTGTGCCTCCCCTGCGACCAGCGGGGAGTTGCCGCTGATGTGGCGGCCTCCGAAGACCCCCGCGAGCAGCGGAGAGATGGCGATTTCAGAGGCGAAGGAGATGATTTTCGGGTCGACTCTAAGCTCCCCCGCAACCAGCGGGGAGATGGCGCTTCTTGAGGCGCAAAGGTCCCCCGCCAGCAGCGGAGAGATGGCGCTCTCGGGCGAGAGCGCGGGGGAGTGTGCGCCGCTTCCGCTAACTCCGCAGGTGTCAACCGGGGGAGGGAGCATGCATCGGTCGACGTCACCGTCGCTGTGGAACCAGCTGGAGTCGGCTTCGAAGGATTTGCTGCTCGCCGCCAGGCACAGGCGCGCGGCGCACGGCGGGAGATTGCCCTCCCCGAGCCCCCCGCAGCACGACAGGAGAGCCGCCAAGGACGGTGCGCATGCGTGCCATGGGCTGTCTCCGCAGCCCGCGCACAAGGCGCACCACCGCCACGGGCTGTCCCTGGGGGAAATACCCCTGAATAATGGTACCGGCAGCAGCGGCGGCAGCGGGAGCGACAAGCGTAGTAGCAAGGGCAGGGTGGCAGTGCGGGCGAGCGCGTCGGCATCAGCGTTGGAGCTGGTGGACCGGTGGAGCGTGCTACCGTACGACAACGACGCGCGGGAGAAGCCGCGGGAGTCAACGCGCGAGTCAACGCGAGTCAAGCCGGCGAAAGCCCGGAGCGGCAGCCGAGAGCACGGCGGCACGGCCGGAGCAGCGGCGGTGCCGGGCGAGTTCCTCTCGTCGTACTTCGGCGACGCGCCCGGCGCTTATGTCGAGGAGTTCGCGCTGCAGGAGGCGCGCAACGCGGCGTCCAACGCGGGCAGCGCGCACAAGAAACCAGCGCCGGCGCAAGTGGAAAGCATTTCCGCGGATCCTGCTTTCCCCTCTGCGCCCGCTGCTGAGCGCAAGCAGGCGACGTGCGCGCGCAGCTGCAGGCGGAGAGCGACCAGGCGCAGGAGCGGCGGAAAGGGGAGCGGCAGAGGGAGCGGGAGGGGCGGCAGCAGTGGGCGGAGGAACAGCAGCGGATGCACCAGCAGCTGCAACTGCTACGGCAGCAGCAGAAGCTGCAGTTGCTCCAAGCCTTCCACGAGTCGAACCAGCAGCACCTGCGCCCCTGCGACTTCGTCCTCGGGCGCCCGTACTCCTCCCTCCACCGCCGCTTCGTGCTGTCGGCGCACGAGCTGGGCAGCGGGCAGTTCGGCGTCATTCGCAAGTGCGTGGAGCGCGGCACGCACAAGGTCTTCGCGTGCAAAACAATCCTTAAATCCAACATCTTGGCGGTGCAGGACGCGGCGGATATACGCCACGAGGTGGCGGTGATGGAGGCCCTGAAAGGCCACCCCCATGTGGTTAAGATCGAGGACACTTGTGAGGACGAGGAGGCAGTGCATATTGTCATGGAGCTCTGCTCGGGCGGAGATCTGTTTGACCGTGTTAAGGAGGAAGGGCGGATGCAGGAACGGACGGCTGCGATCGCGTGCCGGCAGGTGGTGCAGGCGCTGATGTGGTGCCACGTGGCGGGCGTGGTGCACCGGGACGTGAAGCCGGAGAACATTCTCGTCAAGGGGCGGTGTGAGGCAGGCGGCGGCCGGCACGAGCTGCAAGGGAACGTAGGCGCGGCCGTGGCTGTGCTGGGGGGCGCCGCTGCTGCTCCTGTGAAGTTTTCGGCTGACCCTGGCGGCGCGGTTGGTGGTGGTGGTGGCGGCGAGGCGGAGATTCAGATCAAGCTCGCCGACTTCGGCGTTGCCACGTTCACTCGGGGTGAGCCTGCACTGCCCCTGGCTCTCCCCTCCGCACGTCTCACACAGCCTCTTTGCTCCTGCTCCTTCCCCCTCCCCTGCCACGCCCTGCTCACACAACTCATTGCCTTCCCCCCCCCTCTTGTGAATCCACCAGGCAAGCCCTGCACAGAGGAGCTGGGGACCCTTCAGTACATGGCGCCGGAAGTCCTAGCAGGGATGTACGGCCCAGCGGCGGACATCTGGAGCGCGGGCGTGGTGCTGCACATCATGCTGTCGGGGCGCACGCCCTTCTTCGCGTCCCTGGGGCGCACGGTGCAGGAGGCCATTCTGCACGGCCCGGTGCGCATGAAGGGGCCGCACTGGGAGGGTGTGAGCGAGGAGGCGAAGAGTTTGGTCCGCGCCATGCTGGATAAAGACGCTGCAACACGGATCACTGCCAGGGAGATCCTAGGTGAGTGAGACTGACGTACATTTGTCAGGTGAGGGTGGTGGTGACTGCAGTCACCTTGCTTGCTTGTGTAAGTATGTTCTCTCTTGCCACCTACAGCTCAGGCTGACCTGTCTTCTGGTATGTCTTAATGTTTCAGGCCACCCCTGGATTGCCAAGTATACGCAATAAAGTCCTCCACCGGGGTGTTCAGCAAGGTGCCTTTTTCTTCGGCATCTGCTGCATGGCAAGGAAGAAAGCTTTGCCGCTGAAGGTGTGCAGTTGCTGCTGCATCTGTACCCATAGATTCTTGTAAATGGCCACTCACTCTGCAAGTTAGTGTGCAGGTTCTGTTAAGAGCTGCATGTTGTAGCTAGTGCAGAACCTCAATACTGTAGGTTCCCTACTTCTATTAATTTGAATAGTAATAATCGTCTGTTACATTTATTCAAGTTGTCATGCCTTGGTTTTCCACTCCACCAATCCAGTATCCGCCGACCAGCTATAGTATACCGTAGGAATCCTCCTATGCTGTTAGGAACACTGTACACCCTCCCCACTTTACCGGGGCACAATGACTGTACAGCATTGACTTGTGACTCAATAAGAATCCAATCCAATCTCGAAGGTGCTGGTGCAGTAAAACTGTAGGGCGGTCCAAAGCTCGCAGGCTCTGGCTCTTCCCCCAGCAAACCCTAATGGCAGCTCCTCCTCTCCTCTCCTAACCTCTCCTCTCCTCCCCTCCACTTCTCCTCTCCTCTTCTCCTCCTCTCCTCTCCTCGTCTCCACTCCTCTCTTCCCGTCCGTGCCTGCGTGGGTGCTGGCTGGGGTGCGGTGGAAACACCCACTCTCGAGTCTCAGCTCGACTCGACCTCCTGAAATACTGTACCAGAATGCTCTCGCCTCCTATTAGCGGGGTGCTTTGCTATCTTCTGGTGATACGAGGTTCGCCCTCTATTGCGTCCTAGAAGCACGATGGATGGTTCGAAGATAGGTTAAGAAAAAGGCGTTTCTTTTCCACGACCCACTGGGCAGGACTCGCAGCGACCTTTCACGTCGTTAGGGTTTCATCAGACTGACGCATCCCACTCTCACTCCGTTCATCGCGATCCTTCCGCGTTAGGGTTTCATAGTCCCGACCCTTCCGTCCCGAATTGCATTCAATGCGCGAACGACGGGTTACCTGATTCACCACCTAGGGTCTCGAATTCGCACGGCAGTGTTATGACGTCGCACGACACCATTATGCCATCGCACAGCAGTCGTGTGCCTTCGCACGACAGCATCATGACGTCGCAGGAAGATGTTTTGCTAACTGCTTTCCCGGGTAGCTCTCTAAGCCATGCAGCCGACGCTAACGCTTCTGAACCCCCTCCCGTTTTCCCGTCCGCGGCACAGACATGGTCGGAGTTGCACGGGTCGGTCGAGAATTCAAACCTAGAGATTGCCGATAGAATGTCGGGAGAACAGTATAGTTTTCTAAAGAACGCTGAACAGCAGCAGCAGCAGCAGCAGCAGCATGAGCCGCAGCTTCAGATTTCAGATCCATTGCAGCTTTCGTGGCTTTCGGATTCCACGCAGGTGCAGTGGGATTCAAATATTGTCGGTGGTCTCGTTACAAGCTACGACGATGAGCTCTTAAAGGAGATAGAGCTGCCAGGAGGAAAGTCTGACAACAACTCCTCGGCGGAATTTCCCCGGCCGTTGGATCTAGACAAAGCTGTTGCGAGGGCCATGATGGCTGGATCAGGCTTGGGCGCAGGCTCGGATCTAGGTTCGGGAGCAGGCTCGGGAACAAGCTCAGAGCTGGGTGGAGGGTTGGCGCCACTTAAGGCTGACCGGCTTGAAATACAGCTGCTGCAGCAGCAGCAGCAGCAGCAACAGCAGCAACAGCAGCAGCAGCTGAACTTGGAAATGCAGGTGTTGCTTCAGCAACAGCAGCAGCAGCAACAGCAGCAGCAGCAACGTCAGCAACAGCAACTTTTGCAGGAACTGCTGCAGCAGCAGCGAAGACAAGCGGATGTGTCTGTTCTAGCAAAGCGGATGCTAGAGCAAGTGCAACAGCAGCACCTGCGGCAGCCGCCGCAACAGCAGCGGTGCCAGCCACAGCAAGCGCAACACCAACCGATGCTGCAGCAGCAGCAGCAGCAGCAGCAGCAGCAGCAGCAGGAGAATAAAAAACAGCTGCTACAGCTGCAGCTCTTGCAGCAACGGCTGCTGCTGCAAGGACAAGCGCACCATCTGCTCCCGCAACGGCAGCACATGCCGATGCAGCAGCAGCAGCAGCAGCAGATGCAGCAAGTGCAGCTCATGCAGCAGCAGTATCAACTGCAGCAAATGTTGACCCAGCAAGGGCAAGCAGCACGCGGCGTGGCGCAGCAAGCAGCAGCATCACCGTCACAGCAAGAGCCAGGTGCGTTAGCAGAATCAGGCATGGCGCTGCACGCAGCAGCTGCGCGGTCAGACATCTTGAGCACCACGCTCCGTCCCTGCGACCGAGCCTCCATGGCTTGGCGACAGGCTCGGGAGCAAATCCCTCTGCACCTGAGGAACCAACCCTTGCCTGGCACCTCCCTTGCGAGCCAGGGCGGGCTGCTGAGCGCCCTATCACACCAAGGGGGATTTCCAGGCGCTTTGTTGCAGTCATTACAGGCAGGCGGTGTACCCAGCATGTCAGTGCAGGAGGGTGGGCAGATGCCGCAGGGGCAGATGCTGCAGGGGCAGATGCCGCAGGGGGAGATGGGATGGGAGCTAGAGCAACGGGTTATGGGAGGCTGGCTAGGGCAAGACGGGAGGCGGGGGATGCAAGGGGAGGTAGGGGATGCTGGGAGCTGTGGCATGGGCGGTGCAGGGAGCAGTGGCATGGGCGGTGCAGGGAGCAGTGACATGGGCGGTGCAGGGAGCAGTGGCATGGGCGGTGGAGGGAGCAGTGGCATGGGCGATGCAGGGAGCAGTGGCATGGGCGGTGCAGGGAGCAGTGGCATGGGCGGTGCAGGGAGCAGTGGCATGGGCGGTGCAGGGAGCAGTGGCATGGGCGGTGCAGGGAGCAATGCCATGGGCGGTGCAGGGAGCAGTGGCATCGGCGGTGCAGGGAGCAATGCCATGGGCGGTGCAGGGAGCAGTGGCATGGGCGGCGCAGGGGAGTGGGCTCTGCTTCAGCAGCTGCTGGGAGAGGCGTCCCTGGAGAGTGGGCTTGCTGCTAATGCCTGTGCTGCTGCTGGTGGTGCTGCTGCTGGTGTTGGTGCTGCTGCTGCTGCTGCTGCTGCTGGTGTTGGTGCTGGTGCTGGTGTTGGTGCTGGTGCTGGTGCTGGTGCTGGTGCTGGTGCTGGTGCTGGTGCAGGTGCAGGTGCAGGTGATGGCGCAGGGTCCTTGCCCCTGCTGCCAGCCGCAGAGGATGCATGTGTCCTCTCCTCCTCCTTGCAACCTTGCAGCGCAAAGCCAAGTGACCACTGTGGCCGCGCTGCTCTTGCAGCTGCTGCAGCTGCTGCTGCGGTTGTTCGCGCTGGTGCCGGTGTTAATGCTGCTATTGCTGCTAATGCTGCTAATGCTGCTACTGCTGCTGCTGCTGCTGCTGCTGCTGCTGCTAGCACTGTCGTTGCTGTGGTTCGTGAACGGTCATCAGTGGGGGGAAAGAGACTAAGAGAGCACTCATCAGCCGCTACACCTGCTGTACCTCACCGAGCAGCCTCGGGATCGCCAGCCACCACGGACTCACCTGCCACGTCAGCTTCCGCGTTCTCCTCCCCCTCGCACTCCACCTCGGGCTCCGGCGGAAGTTCCTCTGGTCATGGGGGAGGGGTGTTGGGCGGAGGGGTGGGAGGCATGTCGGGGGGAGGGGTGTCTGGGGGAGGGGTGTCTGGGAGAGGGGTGACTGCGAGAGGGGTGCCTCATCCCCTCCCAACCCCCAACTCCCATCCGCCTGAACCCAATGCCAACTCTAACAGCAGCACCCATACAGCAGCAAACCCCCATACCAAGACGCTTTCCCCCACCCCTGGCAGCAACATCAGCCGCCTCCACGCAAGGCAACCCGCCCCCTTGTCCCCCCCCTCAAAGCCTGCCTCTTGGAGCCAAGCCTCACCCAGAAGCCTCGCGTCCTCCCCTGCCTCTAAGCCCCTCCCATCTCCCAAAGCCTGCGCCTCTGCTCCTGCGTCCGCCAAGCCCCTTTCGTCTCCCAAAGCCGCCTCCTCCTTGTCCCCCCCTGCGCCTGCCACGACCCGCCGCTCGCCCAGAGCCCCCCCGTCCGCGCTGGCGTCGCGCCTGGCGGCGGTGCTCAACGACATCCAGTGCAGGCCCGCCCCGCCCCCCGCCTCTGGCGCCGCCCCCATGGGCGTGCGAGCCACCGTCGCCACGCTCCCTGCCACCACTTTCCCCACCCTCGCTGCTTCTGATGCGCCCGGGGCTGGCCGCACAGAGGCCGAGGGGCTGCCAGAGGGGGCGACGGGAGCTGCGGCTGCTGGGGGGGCAGCATGCCGAGACATGGTGGTGGCCAGCGGGAGAGGTGGGCGGATAGGTGCGTTCGGCTATCCTGGTGGTAGTGATTGGGGCGGCAGCAGCAGCAGCTTCACTGTGGCCAGGGAAGTGCTGGAGGCCATGGGAGCCGAGCCGTTGCTACCAGGTGGCGCATCCCGATTGGACGACGTTCACTCGGTGTTGCCGCCCGGTTCTCGCCGCCGAACTTCCGGCCTCTTTGGGGTCGGCGCAGTCCCTCTTGACTACAGAGGCGCACTCTCTCTTAACGAGTATGGCTGTAGTGGGTCTAACCTGGGAGGGTCCTTGACGGCGTTGGGAGGAAGACCAAGTGATATGTCAGGCCGGCTGGTAAGGAGTGCGGGGGAGCGGGCATCTAGAGGGGGCACAGCAGCAGTGGCAGCACTGTCCGCAGCATGGTGGGAGGCTCGAGGGCAGGTTGGAGCCTTGGAATTCCCCAAACCCACGGCCGGACCTACATCCGCTGAGGTCACGGGCCCGGCAGTTTCCGGGAAGTTTCGGTCGGTGGAAAAATTCGCGCGGGCGCAGATGGTGGCGATGGCAGAGGCGGCGGAGGCGGGCGACACCAGGCGGTTCCACTCTGCTTTTGTGCAGCTGAAGCCGCTGGGGAAGGTGCGGGGGAATGCTGTGGAGCGGCTGACGCACTACGTGGTGGAGGGGCTCATACGGCGCATGGCGGGCACGGGGTTCCAGCACTTCAGCACGCCGCTTAGACGGCCTCCCAAGGTACGAGTGGGGGAGGGACTGACTCACTCTGTGTGGAGGGGCTGATGCGGCGCATGGCGGGCACGGGGTTCCAGCACTTCAGCTCTCCTCGTAGACGGCCCCCCAAGGTATGAACGAGAAGGGGGTTGGGTCACTCTCTTTGTGTGCTGTGGAGCAGTTAGACCCGCTGCGCAGCGGACGGGCACACCCACCTGTCGGTCCGTCCTCCTTGCCACGCCAATGTGACCAACGCCCCCTTTGCTCTCACCCCACCCTCTCTCTCCCCCAGGAGCTAGACGAAGCCCAGACGCTCTACGCGTCCTCGCAGCCCTTCCCTCTCTTTGGCAGCCTCTCCATCGCCACGCTCATAGCGCAGGCGGTCAGCGGCAGCACCCACGTGCACATCGTGGACTTCGGGTGCCTGCAGCCCATCCACCTCCCAGTGCTCATGGAGATGCTAGCAGCCCGCCCCGGCGGCCCTCCCACGCTGCGAATGACCGGCATGGACACCGCGAGCTTCATTTGTGCCGGGAGGAAGGATTTTAAGAGGCTGAGGGCGATGGACGACGTGGGGAGGAGGCTGAAGGGCGTGGCGCGGCACCTGGGCGTGCCGTTTGAGTTCGAAGGGGTGGACGTGGACGAGGATAACCTGCAGATGCTGTACCAGGTGAGACCTGTACCAGGTGAGACATCTGCGCCAGGTGAGACCTGCACCAGGTGAGACCTGTCTGCACCAGATGAAGCCTGCACCAGGTGTGCCCCCCCCCTGCCAGGTGAAGCAGTGGCACGAGATGCTGGTGGTGATGAGCTTCCCATTGACCTCTGCGATAACCCATCCCCCCTTTGCTGCCCTCCTGCCTTGCTCTCCCCCCTCTCCCCCCCCACCGCGCCCCGGCAGGTGAAGCGGAGGTGGCACGAGACTCTGGTGGTGGTGTGCTTCTTAGAGCTGCTGCTGCTGCCCGACTCCCCCCACGGCCCTCGTGACTGCGTGCTGCGGGTTAGTTGATGTTGATCACTCTGCGGGTCAGTCCCCCCGTATGCTGCACACACTAGCTTTGCTGCTAGGGTTCACTCTCTCTCTCGCTTGCCCAGACTGCTTTCTGGAGCTGCTGCTGCTGCTGCCACGCGGGTCCCCGCATGGCCCCCACGACTGCGTGCTGCAGGTCACTTGGTCATTCCGCCCCACGGATAAGTCCCACCTCGCTCCTGCCTCAGCCAAATGGGGCAGTTTCAAGATGACTTTTGAGTCAACTCAAAAGTCATATCCCACGCACTGCCTTTGATTGTCCAAGTCATCTCCTTCGCACTGCCTCCAGCTCAACCCCTCTCACTCCCCGGTTGGGGCACTGCCCCACCAGTTGGGGCAGTTTCAGCGCCCCTCCCGTGCTACTTATGCCCCGGTCGAGAGCCATCATGCATGCAGCACCTTGGGTCTCAGCCGTGTTAGGTCTTGTTGTGCTGCTCACGCCAGCCCCTGGTACATCTTCTTCTCAGTCGACTCAAAGCTGTAACATCTCCCAACATCTCCTTTCGCCTATCCTACCTCCTTGTTCCCCCATTGTCTCCCCCATCCCCACGTCATCCCTATCTCCCCCCCCAATCCTCCTCCTCACCACAGTAGATCCACGACATGCAGCCGGCGCTCTTCACATTCGCGATGTTGATCTCAACACCAACCACAGCACATTCCTCCGACGCTCCCTCCTATCCCCCCTTTCAACACCCCCTCACACACCCCCTCACACACCCCCTCACACACCCCCCCCCTCTCCCCTTCCCTCCCCCCCCCCCCCCCACGCCCCGAATCTCCTTCGCAGTGGATCCACGACATGCAGCCAACGCTCTTCACGTTCTGCGATGTGGACCTCAACACCAACCACAGCGCTCATTCCTCCCATGCTTCCTCCTGTTCCCCCTTTCAAACCCCCCTCCCTCTCCCCCCCCTTCCCCCCGCCCCCAATCTCCATCACAGTGGATCCACGACATGCAGCCAACACTCTTCACCTTTTGCGATGTCGACCTCAACACCAACCACAGCGCCTTCCTCCCACGCTTTCAAGACATCATGGACCACCACCTCTCCGTCTTCCAATTCCACGATGTCCTCCTGGGCGACGCGGATAAGCGGCTGCTTGCCGTCTTTGAAGAGATATTTTTTGCGCGCTCTATTGTAAATGGGATTGCTTGTGAGGGGGACAAGCGGGTGGTGCGATCGGAGAGAGTGGAGCAGTGGAGGGAGCGGCTCTTGTCGCTGCGATTTTCCCCGTGCACCATACCGACGACGGTGACTGACAGTGTACATAAGATGCTGAAACGGTTTCCGCTTGGGTTGGGTTTGCAGATAGAGGATGGGGCGATTAGGTTGATGTGGCGTGGGAATTATTCCCTCTTCACATCCGCGTGGATTCCATGTGTTGGCATTTAGAATCACCACCTGGTTTGATGTAAGTATTGATTCGCTTTGACGTGGATGTATTGCTCCATCGGTTAGTACCAAATGTGTAGGCTCATTACACATTCTTTTCATTACCAAGGAGCCAAACCATCCTTCGTAACGCGCTTATCTTATGTTTGTAATGTCTTGCTTTGAGTTTGTCGGAGCTGCCTACATCGAGCTAGGGTTGCCGAAGCTCCCAGAGTTGGCTTGCGTCAGCGGCTTTGGGAACTGTCCAGCGCGAAATTTCTTCCTCCACGCAGCTTCTCCCCGCGCTCGTCTGCGCCTCGGTTCGGTTCTGAATTGAAGCCTCGGGATCAGGGTACTGTACACGTTAACAGAAAAATTACCCTGACTTGACTGAAAATCCAAGGTTTTTCTAAGACCGAACCTGTGTTTTACAGAGCTTTTGTCAAGCTAGCCCTGGGAGCGTCAGGGAGATTTATGTTCTTACTCGTAGGAGTCCGGGGAGATTTTGAGGGGGCCCTGACATCTAGTTCTTCCCTTTAACCCTTAGCCCCACTCTGATCTTCCCATCCTACCCTTAGTTTAGCGGTTGGATTTGAAATGAGCTGCCAGGAACAATTGTTCACGCCACTCAAACATTGCCCCATCCCTCCAACCAAACCCCCTTTCGTCCCAGCCCCTGGCCTAAATATAGCACCTTCACGTGCGTGATTAATCTGTAGCATAGGTGCTGGAGAGGGGGCGGGTTTCCCACCTCGAAGTCGCCCACTGGCACCCTCACTATCTTGTCCAGCAAAATGGGCTATAACCTATCAGGCCTTCTTTAGCACGGACCCTGAAGAATCAGGGTAACTTTTTTTCGAGGTCAGTTTTTACAGAGCGATTTTTCGAGAGCAAGAAGAGCGATTTTTACGAGGTCAGTTTTTCCGAACCTTGCCCACGTCATACCTGCGCTCCACTTGCCAACGTGGCACCAACGACAGCAGTGGGCACACCTGGTTGAAGGAGGAATCTTCGCGTAATTCCTCTTCGTGAGAAGTCAATTTTTCAGGTTGTTCGCCTGTAGCCAGTGTCTGAACGAGCCAAGCCTTATGAGGACGATGAATCATGACGAGGATTTGGTTACCCGCTCCCGGGCACAGAATCAAGGATATGACCCCTGCAACCTGCTCGCCATTCTCCCTCCCCTCCACCCCTCTCCCCTCCTCTCCTCTCCACGCCATCTCCTATGCTGACTCGCGTATAAACGTGGACGCAAGCTAATCCCGATCATTCATTTCCCTGTTCTCCCAGCTGTCTTGCTTCCTCCATTGCAGCCCTCGTTGATTCCCACTAAACCATTTTTCATTTACTCCAACGACTCTAACTGCTCGCCATGGCTGCCGAAGTCGGCGAGGGCAACTGCATCGGTTATGCGGCCAGGGACCAGTCGGGATTCCTGTCGCCCTTCAAGTTCAACCGCAGGTGCGCGTTTCATCCTCCATTTCCCCTCAGTTTCTTCTCCGAACCGAGTCGGTTCTCCCGTTCCTTGCTTTCTCCACGCGTCATCACCTCTTATCGCGCCCGCTTCTCCCGCTTCCCGTTGTGCTGATCCATCATTCTTAGCTTAGATCGCATCTCGGACGAACGATTCCTTGCTAAATGGATGGATCTTCGTTAGGGAAAGTGTCGGATTTCCTACTTTTTCGGAAGGACGACTTCAGTTTAAGTTCCCTGCTACCTTCTTCCAGCTGGTTTTGAGAATTCTCGCGCGCTCGACCACTCCCCGCGTTCCCATTCCCATGGGAGATGGGTCCGAGGGACGTGCGGATCCGCATCACGCACTGCGACATCTGCCGCAGCGACCTGCACGAGGCCAGGATCGAGAGTTGAGATTGGTTTTGAGGCGCCTCAAAACTAGACCTGCACGAGGCCAGGATCGAGTGTTGAGGCGTCCCAAACCTCGTGTATTCACCTGACTTTCAGACATCTCCAATCCCCATGGCTCGCAGGGAGGTGGGGCCCAAGGACGTGCGCATCCGCATCACGCATTGCGGCATCTGCCACAGCGACCTGCACCAAGCCAAGAACGAATGGGGCGGCTCCCTCTACCCCATGGTCCCCGGGTACGTCTTCTGGGAGTTTGCTCTTATTCCCTTGGCGCTGTCGTTCAGAATGTGCTTTTTACATTTCGTGTTTTTAAGGTCGCCCTTGGGGTTCCGAGACGGCTCCTTTCTGTTGTCCTATCTCAGAATCTCGTGCGAATTCTCTGTGTCTCTGACACATGCGTTCGCCTCGTTTCCTCTCGTCCGCTTTCCCTCTCTTCACTGGCCCCAGCCACGAGATCGTGGGGGTGGTGGAGGCGGTGGGCTCTGAGGTGACCAAGATAGCGGTGGGGCAGCGGGGCGGCGTGGGGTGCATGGTGGACTCGTGCCGCACGTGCCAGGCGTGCAAGGAGCACGTGGAGCAGTTCTGCCCTGGCACCGTGTACACATACAACAGGCCCGACCCCAAGTCTCCCGGCGAGGTCACGCAGGGCGGCTACTCCTCCTCCATTGTCTGCGACGAGGAGTAAGTCTCCCGGACGGGTCCGCTCTGTAGTGCAGGCTCTTCGCCACCCGTGCAGGCAGCCTCTCTTCGTTCGTCTGTCTGCGACGAGGAGTACGTATCTTGAACCTCCTTCGTCGCCCTTCACTCTCTTTCTCTACAGCTGAGCTTTGAAAAGTTATTTATTTGATGGCCGTCTCATCATCCCCCCCCCTCCTCCCCTCCCCCCTCCACACACACACACTCCCACCCCGCCTCTTCCCTTTCTTCCCCTCCCACTGCCAGCTTCGTCCTTTCCATCCCCGAGGCGCTCTCGTCCGACCTGGCCGCGCCGCTGCTGTGTGCGGGCATCACGGTGTACTCGCCCATGGTCTACTATGGTGCCAACAAGCCGGGCATGCGGCTGGGCGTGGTGGGGCTGGGCGGGCTGGGCCACATGGCGGTGAAGTTCGGCAAGGCGTTCGGCATGGAGGTCACGGTGCTCAGCACGAGCCCCAGCAAGGAGAAGGAGGCGAAGGATGTGCTGGGCGCCGATCGGTTCATTGTCACCAAGGACGCCGAGGCTATGAAGGTGAGCGGCTGTGGTTGAGAAGCACCATGTGACTCAACTCAACCTACATATGGAAAACCTCAAGCATGCCTTGAACCCTTGAATGCTAGTCATGATTTGCTTTCACCGGATCCATGCACCACGGTAAAGGTCACGTTAAGCAAACGATTGACAAGCTTGTTTATCAGTGATCCGTTGACCAATCGTGTCATTGCCTCCCACCACACCATGTTGTTCACGGTGTCGGTGCAGCATGAGCTGGTGGCGCCATACCTGGAGCTTCTCACATTCAACCTGCTCTGTTTGCTGGTCTCTTGGTGGTAGTCTGTTTCGGCTTTAACCGTTTCCCCTCTCCCCCCTCCCCCCCCCACATTCACCGCCTCTTCCAGGCAGCAGCGGGATCGTTGGATGCCATAGTGGACACGGTATCGGCGCAGCATGAGCTGGGGCCGTATCTGGAGCTCCTCACTTTCAACGGCAAGATGATCCTCGTCGGCGTGCCTCCGCAGCCCTATGACCTCCATGCCTTCCAGCTCATCGGTGGTGAGTGCTCAGATCAACCTGAAGGGATAGTCATTTGTTTGAGAGAAAGGCTTAATATGGGATACGTCAAGCGTGTTCAGTCTGCAGACTTTCGCTTAGCATTTCAAACTGCTCATTCTTGTATTGGTTACTTGTTCTTGGCGTTTTGCAGGTCGTAAGACGGTGGCTGGTAGTTTGATTGGAGGGGTCAAGGAGACTCAAGAGATGCTAGAGTTCTGTGCCCAAAAGGGAGTTGTGCCTATGATCGAGGTTATCGACATTCAAGACATCAACAAGGCATACGAGAGGATGATGAAAAGCGACGTGAAGTACCGTTTTGTTATTGACATTGAGAAGAGCCTCAAGTAGACTTGTTATAAAGGCCTTCTAATATGATCTATGTTGTGAGCCTGAACTTGTAAGGGTAGTGCAGGTCCCGCTCCCGTGCAGCTCGTAACAAGTAACACTTTCGCTCCATCGTTGCCCAAAGCGAGGACTTCGCCAACAGGCTGTGCCTTGGCGGAATGAATGCGCGCAAGAGCCCCCCCTCACGCTGATCCCCCATCCGCCATCTCCGCGACTTTTGGACCCTTCCGCGTTTGTGCGGCAATCGGATCGATGGTTCACATCACGGGTCCAGGCAGATGCGCGCGAGCCCTAGCAACAGAGTCTAGCTCGCCGTTTCTCCTTCCTCCAGGATTATTAGTGACTGTTGTGGACCATTCGAGCTCATTCCTTCGCAAGCGTCTCCGAGAATACGGAATTTGTTGTTCACAGTCGCATTGGGAATGTCGAATTCCACGATGGCTTTCTAGGACGGCCGCTTAGAACTTTCACGACATAGTAGTTGACGATATGGAAAGAATTGCTGTACCTGATGCTCTCCGTTGTCGTTGCGGTTTTCCTGGAGCTGCAACGCATCGTATCGCATAATCAGCCATGAGGCTGACGTCAGCGACGCTGCAGTATGTCCAGTGCGAAGTTTCCTCCACCACGCAGCTTCCCCCCACTTTCCGCTTGTCTCCCGACACGGATACTATTCTGATCGCTGTCGATCCCAGTCTGGATCTGCAACTATTCTGTCTGCCACGTCAGCTCAGCACCCCCATCTATCCGTAATGACGGTTCGTGAAGGAGGCTCGCTTTGCGACTGTAAATCTGCATCTTCGCTACAGTATAAGTGCACACTAGCGTGCTGCGCCGGCAACATCCACGTCATGCAGATGCAATCCGTCGACGTGGCACAGACACGTCGGCGTGGTTCCTTCAGCCGAAACCTGCGCCTGGGGGGAAAGGATATTAAATTCCTCCTCGTGACAATGGCAGCTGCTCTGATGGCAGTCTCACGAGACGATCATGATGATGTTATGGTCGGAGAGGAGGCGGCTCGCCGCTCTGTTCGGGGATGGCTTCTTGCCTCTCGTCCTCCGTTCCCTCCCCCTGCTTCCGACGGCCTGGGTCCGCTACAAATACGCGGCTCTAGAAGCCTTCCGTCATTCCAGCAATCGCCATTCGTCCAGCAACCGCCATTCGTTTCGAATCCTCTTAGATCTTCAACGAATCTAACTGCTCGCCATGGCTGCCGAAGTCGGGGAGGGTAACTGCATCGGCTATGCCGCGAGGGACCAGTCGGGATTCCTCTCGCCCTTCAAGTTCAACCGCAGGTTCGCCTTGTGTTACACTCTCCACGCTTCACTCGCAGCTTCGCCGTCTCAGTTTCTCTTCACCAGAGCTATTGTGATCGCGTATCATTTTCGTCCTCCCGCTTGGTTGTGTCGTTCTGTGCTCACCTGATGTCTAACAAAATTCTCGGTAGGCAAAAAAGCGCTTTTGCAAATTCTCCCCCCCCCCCTCCCCGTTTTGGCTCGTTGCTCGCAGGGAGGTGGGGCCCAAGGACGTGCGCATCCGCATCACGCATTGCGGCATCTGCCACAGCGACCTGCACCAAGCCAAGAACGAGTGGGGCGGCTCCCTCTACCCCATGGTCCCCGGGTACGTCCCCCTGGGCTTGGTCGAATTCCCTCTACCCCAGGGTCCCGGGGTTCGCTTCCTTGAGCCCATTCAAAGTTGCCCTCTTTTCCTTCGCCATTAGCCACTCCTGCTCGTCCCGTAGGTACGTGTCAATCTGCATCTGCATCCCCATCCCTGCCTAATCCTCTCCTTCCTCCTTACCTCCCTCTCCTTCTCCCTTTCTCCTCCCCTTTCCTTCCTCCTCCCCTTCCCCCCCTCCCCCACCCCTTCCTTTTCACAGGCACGAGATCGTGGGGATGGTGGAGGCGGTGGGGGCGGAGGTGACCAAGATAGCGGTGGGGCAGAGAGCGGGCATCGGGTGCATGGTGGACTCGTGCCGCACGTGCCAGGCGTGCAAGGCGCACGTGGAGCAGTTCTGCCGGGGCTGCATCTACACGTACAACAAGGAGGACCCCAAGTCGCCCGCGGGCGAGCCCACGCAGGGCGGCTACTCCTCCTACTATGTCTGCGACGAGGAGTGAGTCTCCTGGCTGCTCGATTTCTTGTGCAGGCTCGTCGCCTTGCCTTCACAGCATGCTAATACTCTGAATTCCTTGCCACCCTCCTCCGTCCGCCCTCCTGCCAGCTTCGTGCTCTCCATCCCGGACAAGTTGTCCTCGCAGGAGGCAGCGCCGCTGCTGTGTGCGGGCATCACGGTGTACTCGCCCATGGCGTTCTACGGCGCCAACCAGCCGGGCATGCGGCTGGGCGTGGTGGGGCTGGGCGGGCTGGGCCACATGGCAGTGAAGTTCGGCAAGGCGTTCGGCATGGAGGTCACGGTGCTCAGCACGAGCCCCAGCAAGGAGAAGGAGGCCAAAGACGTGCTGGGCGCAGACCAGTTCATTGTTACCAAGGACGCTGAGGCTATGGAGGTGAGAATACCACCTATTTTAATTCTTCAAGTTTCAGGTTTTCCCGCTGAAATAAGTTTACCACAAATAAACTCAAATCTTGCTGTGAGGGGCTGTCTTTATCCCAGTGACTGCTAACCGTTTTTCCTTTTTTCGAGGGGGGTTTTCCCTGTAGACATTTTAGTTGCTTTATTCATGTTCATTTCCCTTTCCCCCCCCTCACCAGGCAGCAGCGGGTTCATTGGACGCCATAGTGGACACGGTGTCGGCACAGCATGAGCTGGGGCCGTACCTGGATCTGCTCACATTCAATGGCAAGATGATTCTTATTGGAATTCCTCCGGAGCCGTACAAGCTTCACGCCACGCAGCTGCTCATGGGTAAGTGCTACTGTTGGAAATGAAGCTACCATTCACCTGAGATATAAGGCATGGTGATGGCTATGTCAAGCTAGTGACCTTTCTGGCATCTACCTTATTGACGTACGACTATTCATGGTGTTTTGCAGGTCGCAAGACTGTGGCTGGTACTTTGATTGGAGGGATTAAGGAGACTCAGGAGATGTTGGATTTCAGTGCTGAAAAGGGGGTTGCTCCGATGATTGAGGTTATCGGCATCCAAGACCTTAACAAGGCGTATGATAGGCTGGCCAAGAGCAATGTGAAATACCGCTTTGTCATTGACGTTGAAAAGAGCCTTAAGTAGATAGTGGGAAGAACGTAGGGATGCATGTTATTTGTTTCGAATTTGGGTAAGTGGGTTTCAGTGTAACAACGGTTTGACGCTATATCGGGTTGCAGCAATGGCGCTGTCTTGGTAGTATCTAATTCCGCAACTGTGGAAGCCGCGCCTAGCAAGTAGCACGCATTCCCCCGCAGTGCCACCACCAACCTCTCCGAACTTGCGCTCTATCACCCGCACATCTTCCCCTTCTCCCCCGCCTTCCACACTTCCGCCGCGACAATATCGATGGGTACTGTAGATGCGAAAAAGAAGAAGACCAGCCGCCACGAGCATGAGGTAGACAAGCCCATTGATGCTGCCTGCTTGCCTTGATTATGCCTTACGTTGAGTTGCATGAAATGAACAGAACAGCCATCCACCTCATCTATTCATTGTTTGGCGTTGCGTTGCAGCCTCTAGTTATGCTGGCTTCTTGCCTGAACCTCTTTATTTGCATCCCTCCCTCCTGCCTAACACCTCCTGCCACTTAGGTCCTTATTCCGCGGTGGTGATCTATTCCAGTCCTTTAACTCAGGGCTACCTGCATTGTTCCAAATTAGGGTTCTCATCTCGTCTCGCCTCCCTCGCACCTCGCGTCCAGTAGGGGCACTCGACTCATCACATCTGCTTGACACGTGTCACCCGTCAGCCGCCGTTTCTCGCGCGTAGCTCGCGTCGTCTGCCCCGTCAGCTCGTTTAACTATGTTCTGCTGCTTCTGTCGCTCGCGAACCGCGGACGATGACGACGACTACGCCACGTCACTCCCCCCCGCTCCCTCGGGCCGCAAGCACGCCGCGCCCTCTGCCAGCGGCGCATCCGCAGGCGTGCACGAGTTCGCGAGCCAGATGGCGGCCGCCGACGACCGCGTCGCGATGTCTTCCGTCGCCGTGCTTCACGCCGCGCAGATCCGCAGCATCCGCTCCGAGAATGCCGGCGACGCGAGGCCCGTCGGCACGCCGCCGAGTCGCGGCGGCAGTCGCGGAGCGACCCCGACCCCGCGAGATTCGCAGCGGTCGCCAGGAATCGCAGGCGACTGGAGCCGGAGTTATCAAGGTCAGTCCACCCCTGGCGCCGCGTCCGGGGTAGGGTTTGGGTCGAACGCTGCCGCTGTGGGGAGCGGAGTTAGTGGGAGCGGAACGGGCGGCGGCGCGGCCGTCCATAGCATGTCGGAGCCTCGAATCGCGAGCCTCCCTGGAGCAACAGGGGACAAACTGCCTGTATCGCCTTTATCGGGTATGGTTATATCAGGTCAGGCGCAGGGGAGCCATCACCACGCGCAGTACGCGCACCAGGGGGCGGGCGGAGGGGCGGGCACGGGTGTAAGCGCGGGGGTTGGCGCAGGCGGAGGTGGAGGCGGAGGAGGGGGAGCGGGTGGCGCAGTTGTGATGGCGGGCGGGCCGGGGACGCAGCGCCCGGTGCCACTGGCGGGGGGCATGCCCTCATCTGCGCCCGGGCGCGCGCGGATACTCGCGTGGCTTCAGGAGTCGGACTTTACCTACGCCGTAGTTAACGAGGTGGAGAACCTTCCTATGAAACTTCCCTCGTCGAGCGGTAAAGGAACAAGCAGCGGCACTGGCGATAGCGATTCTGTGACTGTAGGCGGAGGTGACAGTAGCGGGGGGACGAACAGCACGAGAGAAGGGAGCCACGACCCCGCTAGACCCTCACATCCCAACCCTGACGAACCCGTTATAGAGAAACTCGGCTCGTTCTTATCAAGTTTATTAAACGGATTTTACGATGACGCGAGCAGCCCGGCCCCTCCCCCGCAGCCCGGCAGCAGCAACCAGCCGTTCGACCCGTTCGCCAGTTCCAGTAACGCGGGGTCGTGGCGGCGGCAGGGGGCGGTTGTGACTCTACCCGGGACCAGGAAGGACCTGCCGCCCGCAGCGCCAACGTTCGGCTCGAGTGCAGCGGGGGGAGGAGGAGGAGGAGCAGGAGCAGCACGAGCAGCAGCAACAGACAGTGGAGGTTTAGGCGTCGGTCGTTCAGGTGCGGTTGCAGCTGCCCCTGCTGCTCCAGCTGCCGCACGAGATGCCAATGCTGCTGGTGCTGCTGCTGCTCCTCCGCCTAATCCTGCGTCCCCTGCTGCTGGCAGTGCGTCTCGTAACCCCTCCGCTGTGCGCACGTGGAAGGATAGTGCCGGTGCTACGTTGACCAACACTAAGTTTCACTCGCAGGCTCGGCCTACCGTGCCTACAGGCCTGGGAGCAGGCTCGGGAACCCTGCTATCCCCTGCTGCTGCCGCCGCTGCAGCGGCAGCCACGGCGGCCGCAGCTGCGGCAACAATGGCAGGGGCAGGGGAGGATCGAAGTCGAGGCGCCGCCGAGCCTTGCGCTCTTAGCCCTGCGCCCCCTGCAGCAGCAGCAGCAGCAGCAGCAGCAGCAGACGGCGGAGAAGGGACTGTGGATTCAGGCGCAAGGGAAGAAGCTTCAGCGCCAGGTGGAGAGGAACTAGCCGCAGAAGCAGACGTTGCAGCTGGTGCTGTTGCAGCCACCTGTGCAGCAGACGTGGGCGGAGCAGGGGGGGCAGGTAGGGGAGCAGGTGGGGGAGGCGCGGCAGTGGGGCGGGGGAGAGAGCGGGAGAAGGAGGGTCTCCTAGTGCAGGCTCTAACCAACCTGGTGAGGCAGAACGGAGCAGAGGGGGAGGGGCGATGCAGCATGGAGCGGGAGAGGGGCAGTGGGGAGTGGGGGGCGCAGGTTTCAGGGGGGAAAGAGGCGCATGCCGCAGGGGAGCAGGAGTCGCGTGGTGTGGGCGGGAGGGAGGCGCGAGGGGGGGGAGAGAGCGAACCGGTGAGCCGGTCAGTCACAGAGGCGTCAGCTGGGGACCTGTCAGCTATTGCCAGCACGGGTGCAGGGCTTTTAGGGGGAGGTGGTACCGGTGCAGGTGGAGCTGCCGAATCTGGTGTGGCAGCAGCAGGGGTACAGGGGTGGTGAGGTGACTTGTCTTAGCTGGTCAGTCACAGAGGCGTCAGCTGGGGACCTGTCTGCTGTTGTCAGCACTGGTGCAGGGCTTCGGGGGGGGGGGGGTAGCAGCAGGAGGGGTACGTGCAGGTGGGGTGCGGAATCTGGTGCGGCAGCAGCGGCAGTGCAAGGGTGCTGACTTGCCTCAGCAGCACGGCCAGGCATGGACGCTGCACCTGGGAACCTCTCTGCTGTTGCCAGCACCGGTGCAGGGCTTGTTTGGGGGGTGGGGGGAAGAGAGAGGGGGGAAGAGGCAGGTGGAATAGGGGCAGGTGGGATAGGAGCATGGGGTGGAGTTGCAGGAGCTGAATGTGGTTGGGCAGCAGCAGCAACGCAAGGTTACAACCGCAGGGAAATATTTTGGTGCGGTGCGGTGCATTTTGAGATGCCTCAAAGCCCCCACTGGCACCTGTGACCTGACTACTTGAAAGCCACCCATGCACATCCATCCATGTGATGATGCATTGAGACCAAGTTTGAGGCGCCTCTACTGCAACGACCATGCGTGCATGCGCGCTGCGCCCACTCCACATGGCACAGCGATGCGACGAATTCTGAGGTGCTTTAAAGACGATGCAATGCGCGCCTGCGTGCTGCCTTACTAGCTGGCAAGTATGTATGGACCCCCCCGATAGGTGGTAGTATGAGGTTGAGTAGAGCATACCATAGTGGCCTACTGTAGGTGTTTTACGAGTTTATTATTTGGTGCAGGTTTGGCTACTGTAGTTACATTCACACTCACTCAAGTGATGCGAGGTGGTAGGGGTGCTGTAGGCTACTCTAACGAAGGCCTTGGCTACCTGTTCTTCTCTGTATGACTGCAATGTAGGCTACTAGGACGTTTACTAGCGAAACCAAGGCAAACCAAGGTTCAAAGCTGCACAACAAACCAAGGTTCAAAGGCGAGCAAAGGTGCAAGGCAAGCAAAGTTGGAGGCAGCTACAGGGACTCCGGTCAAGCAGCGATGATGGCCCAAGCCGGCACATACTCCAGCACTGCTAGGTTGGGCACTACGCAGGACGCTACCCACCGCTCGCCACCCCTCTCCACCCCTCTCCACCACCCGCCTCGGTGCCATGCAATGCAGGCAGGCCCTCGAGGCGGCTCCAAAAGAAAGGTGATCAGGCAGCGCTGCCACAAGGAGGCACAGCGTTGGCACCAGCTGGCACATACCGGTACTCGTGCACAGCAAGGTTGGGATGAGGGACGCTAGCCCCAGCCGGCCGCCCCCCATCCCTCTCCATCACCTCACTGGAATGAAGCCCCTAGGTGCCTCAGAAAGGTCATCAGGCAGTGCTGGTGCCTGGCGGCACATAGTCCAGCACAGCAAGATTCGGCACTATGAGGGACGCTATCCACAGCTTGCCGCCCCTCTCCATCACGTCACTCGGCGCCTTCACCCGCTTTCCTGCCCGGTCCTCCAAAATGTCGGTGATCTGCCCGGCCGCGTCCACCTCTGCAATCATTCCGTTGGGCAGCCCGAAAATTCCGGCGTAGAGGAGAAGCGGGTGCAGGTGCAGGCGCAGGAGGATGGAGCGCAGGCGAGGGGCGCGAGCGAGGAAGTCTGGGGAGGAGGGGGAAAGGGGGGGAAGGTGGGGGAGATGGGGGGAGGGAGGGGATGGGGGAAGTTGGAAGAGGATGGATCAGTGGGGCATCGTGGCAGGGGAGCTTAAGCTAAACCTGTGGGGATGAGTAAAAAAATAATGGTAAGGCGAGACTAGTGGGAGCAGTGCAAGGGGAGATAATTCCCGTAGCAAACGATGACTTTTGAGTGGACTCAGAAGGGCGCAAGGGGAGTGCATTCCCGTACCATAAGCGGAGGTTCGGTACGCAGGCATGGCGATCCAGAAACGCCCCCGGGGGTTGAGCCTGGGGTTGTCTGGCACCCCGGGCAGGTCCACAAACACCTCGTGGCTGCCCGCCTTGCTGCCCTTGAGCCAGTAGCGGTTGCACCTGCTCATGCTCGTGCGCACAGCCACACACACATGCACAGAGACACACATGCACACATGCACACGTGCACACACATGCAGTACACAAGGAACGAGCGGTGTTGAGAGAGAGAGCAAGACTAGCCTTAGATGCATTTGCCTGATGCTAGAGACCACCCCACCTGACACCCATCACCCCACCCCACCCCACCCCACACTACCTGACACCAAACACCCCACCCCACCACACCCCACCCCACCCCACCGCACCCCCCCCCACGGCATCCCACCTGGCTCTGATGGTCTCGCAGTAGACGAGGAACGAGCGGTCCTGGGAGAGGGCGAGCCCGTTGGCAAATGCCACGCCGGGCACGAGGCGAGTCACCTCCCTCGTGGCAATGTCGTACTTGTATAGGCCGCCGTCCGCCCCGCCATCGAGAATCATGGAGAGGAAATTCCTAGCGGGAAAGGGGGAATGGGGAGGAAAGATAGGACGGGCGGATGGGTGGAAAGCTCAGCCGCCTGCCCCGCTGTCCAAAACCATGGAGAGGAGATTCGTCCACAGAGTGAGAGAGGTGGAAGTGGGGTGAGCGGCGCTGGGCGGGGTGAGAGAGGTGGAAGCGGGGTGAGCGGCACTGGGCAGGAGAGCGAGGAGAGTTGAGGAGCAAAAGGAGGGAGGAATGGAGCGGAGGAGTGGACGAGCCAGAGAGCTGGAATGCGGGAGGAAGAGGGGGAAGGGGGGGGTGGGGGGGAGAGAGCTGGAAGGCGGAAGCGTGAAGGGGGAAATGCATGAGCGGACGAATGCCATGCCTCGCATACCTCATTTCGTATTTGGTGCTCGATACAGTGAAATACACTGTTCCGTTCTCATCTTCCGCGTCCATATCGAGGTCGTTTATAAAGGACAACTTCTCTCCGTCCACCAGCTTCCCGCCAACCAGTTGCTCCGCCTGTCCCCCATTTAAGCCGACCCGATTCAGCCCATAGTACGCGTCCGCGATATAAAGCTCTCCAGTAACGGGGTGAAACCGCAGGCCCAAGGGACGGCCGCAAAGAGGCTCCTTAGACGGATCCGGCTGTGACTTTGGCGGAATGTCACACAACTGAGGGGTGCGATTCGGAGAGGTGTGCGCGAAGGGCTCCCATTGGCTGTTGTCCGCGCTCCGCCGCACGACGCGGCCGTCTACCAAGCCGGAATAGGGTCCGCTGCCGTTAGCGTCCATGGCCAGACTCTCAGGGCCGATGCCCTGGTGCTCGTACCTGCCATTCGCATGTCAGCACGTGAATCACGCATCATACAATGAAGGGAGAAAAGGAGTACTAGTCCTTTGACCACAACCACGTGCATTCGAGAGGGAGAAGACATCGACGGAGAGGAAGCTCACGTGTCATGGCATCAGGGGAAAAGAGAGACTATGGCCGTTGCCGTACTAGTATGTGTTCTCCGAGAATGTGTGTGTTGCAAATGCGGGTGGGATTCGTCAATGCCATTCAGTGTGCGTTCTTCAGTTTAAGTCGACTTAAAAGCAGAATCAATACACGCGATTTTTTAGTAGACTCTGCAAAATGCAGGTGGATTCGTGAATGCCGTTGAATGTGCGTTCTTCATTGTGTGACACTCGTCGCGATGCGCTATGCATTGCGGTTTACTCGAGTCCCAAAACACAACTTATACTTTATCTCCGCAGAAGCAAGGCGGTTCGAGGGGTCGCTAGCTCCCGGCACCGCGAGCGGCGGGAGGAGGACTGGCGACACGTCTACCGGCTGGCGAAGCGCGAGCGGGTCGTTGTAGACAAATGACGCGATGGCCGCTACAAGCACGCCGAGAAGCGCGGCGCGAAGGGCAGCCATGGCTGAATCAGAGGTGAGAATGGCACTGGAGAAGACAACAAAGTCTGGGGAAGATAAGACAAATCACAGAAACTGGGGAAAGTCAGGGGAAACAGAGGAATTGGGATGAGATGTCAACGCCAGTATCCATGGAGGAATGGCCAGGGGATTACACATGATGTCCGCAAAATGCCCAGCCCGATTCTGTCCCAAAGTGCACCCCCCCGATCAATAATTCCATCCACATTCATCCAGCGCGACTCGTGAACAGAGTGTTCTAAAATTCCCTTTTGACCAGCCCCCACGATATCAGGAATTTTACGTTGATGGCTTTTTTTTGGGTTGCGGAGCAACCTATTGCGATCGATGGTAAGGATTTTTTTTTTTCAAATTTGTGATTTGTAAAAACTACCAAATCAAAAAAAAACTTAATGAATTTACTAATAATTTTTAGTTTCCCTAATTGATTGAATATAAAATGTTTTGGGTTGCGCCGCAACCTATTGCGATAGATCGTAAGGATTTTTTTTTTAATTTGGGATTTAAAAAAACGACCAAATCTAAAAAAAAACTTAATGAAATTCCTAATAAATTTTAGTTTCCCTAATTGATTGAATATAAAATGTTTGTCATTGTTTCCCATTATTTCCAGTGGCGTATTTTTGTCATTGAAAATAATAGGTTATCGCTTCCCCCAGCTAAGTGGGGGAAGTCAAAAGCCTATTATGTCGACCGAGAGATAATACATTTTATGATAGCAAGAAAAATAGATTGCACTTATCATCTCCAGTTCAAGTGACTACACTCAAAGAGAGAGTCAAAGAACCTTACTTGAAATGATAAGAATAACCTACTTTCTTACTCACACAAAATGCTTATCTATGTGGTAAATGGATGTTATTGGGCCAGCAACAGACACGAAGTGAAAATCATCAGCAAGCAATAATTTTTTTTGACAAGCAACAATGCAATTCAGACAGCTTGGAATAGAAACAATGTTTAGCTGACGCCCATAACGAAGCCACTTTTCAGCTTTCACGAGTGCTTGGAATCCTGTATCAAGTATACAAGAATACCAAAGGAATTAGAGGGGGTCAGGAAACAAGGCAAGAATTAGAGGAAAAAACGGACGGTGAACACAAATTAGAGAATGATACAAGAAAGTTAGAAGAAGGGGTTGCGGAAAAACGGCAAAACGGAAAACAAAATGGGTTGCAGCTCAATAAATCGACATAAATCTAGGTCGAAGTGGGCTGCAGCCCCATAAATTGACCTAGATCTAGGTCGAAAAAGGTCGCAATCCCTAAAATCGACCTAGAACGAAGTCGATATGGGTTGCAGCCATGTAGATCGACCTAGAACTAGGCTGAAATGGGTTGCAGCCCCCTAATAACGACCTAGAACGAGGTCGGGCTGCAGCCCAGTAATACGACCTAGAACAATGTCGAAATGGGCTGCAGCCCAATATCTCCACCTAGAACTATCGAGGTCGCGGAAAGAAAATAGGAAATCTGAGGAAATTAGAGGCAACCCTTCAGTGACTTGAAAGCCTAGGACGCTATGAATGACGTACCTGTGCTATGAGAGGTAGCTCTGCTGAGGAGATTGTTAGGCAAGAGAAAAAGCAGAAACGAGTTGCTGAAGTTGATGGACCTTTCGTCGCAAATTTACATTTTGGTAAAATACAAATTGTGTTACATGACAAGTAGTTTAGTTAAGTTGTTTGAATGTCAAGTTTGATTCAAACGCTCTCGGGTTTGAGTCTTGACTAGTAGGAAAACAGATGTCACTACTTCACAAAGTTTGTCTCATTGAAATTCATTTTCACACAGCTCCTCAATTTTAAAATAAATATGTGAAACATCATCATTTGTTCTTGTCATATGGAAATAATAATCAAATGTTTGTTGTGATATGGAAAATGACGTATTCTATCCAACAAACAGAATGATTATTTGATATGAACATAAAACATTTATGTATAATAAAGTCTCATCATGAAATGCTCTGCAACCCTAAGATGATCTCGTCGCCTCTTGTTTTTCTTCTTCTTTCTTTCTTTCTTTTCTTTCTTTCTTTCTTTTCTTTCTTTCTTTTCTTTCTTTCTTTCTTTCCTTTTCTTTCCTTTTCTTTTCTTTTCAGGGCCCCTTCATCACCGATCCTTGTCCCCATGGTTTACCGTCTGTTTGATTTGGTGGTGTTGCAGGGTTGTGCCTTTACGAATCCAGGCAAACGTGTGGCCATTGGAGCTAAAGTAGTTGATGCTGGTCCCATTTGACCAGATCACATGCTTTCGAACACTAATTGTCCACTCAGCATGCGACTCCATGAATTTCCAGAACAGTCTTGGCTTTTATGACTTGTGCACCGTGACTAGACCCGCAGACCCTAGTGTGTTTTTAATGGTGCAAGGGTACACAGTCAACCGTGCAACGTTACCCTCAGTTTCGTGGTGTCTACGCTAGATTTGGCCACTCTATTCGTGATTTTACTCTACAACGGTACGATGAAGACGATCCGTGATAAGATGGGCCCGACCGGATAATTGCATCTTTGGCCACACCTCAGCATGGCTAGTCTCAAAGATACCATTCAATCCAAATTCGTCCACAATACTCTTGCCTACGCCCAACTTTTTTGCGATTTTCCTAGTGCTCACCCCCTTATGCTAAATGGTGGGTCCAAGAAGAAGGCAAGAAGTCCCCTGCCGAGGTTTGTGCTAACCTCATAGGTAACATGCCTAGGAGGTTGCGGGTGGTTATCAAGGCCAAATGTCGGTGGGCTATGTACCAAATACGCAATTATGAGGTTTGCTCTCTCTGCTAGGAAATATTTGTCCGGATGTACCATTTGTATATCTTTTGGGATATGAGCTAGATTCAATGTACTATTCTGGATATTTGTGCTATGAACACATCCACTATGTGACCCTCCCAAATCGTACCACCATTAAATATTAAGGCTTAATGTATAATGGTGTTAAAGCCTAAAAATCCAAATTAATGCAAAACATACGGACAATTGTTCCCGCCATTGTATATAGAAGCTTAACCCACTCTTGGCTTTGCCTCCTTTTGCGTTGTACAGGTCCAAGTCCTGCTGCTGTGCCGTAAGAGTAGCACAAAGAGAAGTTTATGAGATGTTCCTTTGGGAACGAATAAGGGACTTGCCTCCATTCGGGTCCAAGTCCAGCCAGTATAATAGTGACGAAGAGCTCATTGCTGAGATTTCCTTCGCACTTGCCAAGCTGATCTCGAAGATTTATGTACCTGTCGATCTAGCTGCCAACTTTTTCTCCCGGAAGCATTTGCATTGCTGTAAGTTGACTTAACAGCTTGCTCAGTAAAACGAAATCTTGTGCTTGATACAACCTTCGCAAATAATCCTAGGCATAGAAGGCTGGAGCGAGTGAAGGTTTGAAGCACCGAACTCCCAACTGCACTTCAGGTGAGAGATTCAGCACCAGTAGTGTACAGGCCATAAGCGAATACTTGTAATAACACGCCTGTTCTTCGGTCGTTCTTGTCTATGGATAACGGATTGATCCGTCGAAATATCCCCAGATAGCAGAAGATTGCGCGAGGAGTTCGAACTCGAATGCCCAAGTAAAAAAGTCGCGGCCATCAAAGTAAGTTGAGGTCTTAAGCTTGGAGATAGTTAGGAAACCCGATTGATTTACGACAGCTTCTGCAGCAAATGGTCTTTCTTCTGCCATTTGATGTTGTTGCTGCTGTGGTTGTTGACGTTGTTGTGGTTGAGCAGGTCGCCCATGGAAGGCAAGAGACCCAGCGGACTCATCTCCAAGGGCTGAAGGCCCAGCGGCACCATCAACTCTTGCATAACTAGAGTTATCAAGGCTCATAGAAGCTGTAGGATGCGCTGGAGCTTGTTGTTGTAGCTGAGTAAACTGAAATCCCATCAAGGAAGCAAAGTAAGATGGATCGCCAGTAGAAAGACCAAAAGTAGGAGAATTCGTAATTGAATTTCATGTCTTAGCAATTGAAATAATTGTAGATCTATGACTTAGGGCGTATTCCTACAAAGTAGGATTCATTAAAAGTAGGATCTACAGCTTGTAGAGCCGGATCCACGAAATATTACAACGTGGATCCAGTTCCTTCGATATGCGATGGAGTCGCATTGGGCCGCATTTTCTCACATATCAATCGCACACCGGCATAATACACGCGGAGTGGGACAATAGGAGGTGGTCAACCATCGAGTAATTACAGGTGCGCCAAGGCGCAACGTCAGTCCGACAGTGCGGGGCGACGAACTTAGCATGTCCGGGTAGCAACGCAAACTCCCAGCCCATTCAGCTGTCATGCAACTATGTTTGCTGGTTTTTCGAGATTTGAGGTTGGTCAGGTTGGCGTTTACTCGATCCCTCAGCCAATCAGTGCACCAGCAGGCATCCATCCTTTGTAAACACGTCAGCCGCTATGCGATTTGGTTTCGTCGGCAGCCGTCATAGTCATGCGACGTCGCCCAACGCTGTAGATCTGGATGTTATAAAAACAACAGGATCTACAGGGGATCCAGTAACATTAGATCCTACTTTGGGGTAAATCCTACTTTGCAGGAATACGCCCTTAAGCTTAAGGACGTAATTGAAATCAGCTTGTATCGGTTGGTGTAACTCCACTAGCTCATAATACCATGTTGAAATGAACCACGTGTTTAGGGTGGCCATGATATAGAGTTGGTGGAACCACGAGTAGAAAATCAGCGGAAGACTTTACACCTTGTATTGGAAATGTTCGAAATGACAAGGCCAACAATAATTAGTAATACAGGCATATTTATAGTCTAGGAAGTACCTATTCAAATGAACCTGTTCGTAGTGTATCGTAACTGTTCACGCGTTGATTCGAAACTGCTGACGTCATCATGCGCATCCTTCCATATGAGGTATCGCACTACTAGTATAGTCTAAGTGTTCTATCAGGAATGCACAAGAAAACTCTGTCGAGTATACTTCAACACTGCTTGCGACTATCTGTGACGCCAACTGCGACAGACTCGCGGAAATGAACCTCGACGACATTTCGCAACCTCTGCGACTTTTTGTGACGGCAGTTGCGACAGCGTCGCG